GATAGAGGGTTGACAGGTGGGAGCCAAGAGCCGCAGGTCAACTAGGTGAGTAGAGAGTGTGATGCCCCATACACCGTGACACATGAAGTGTTCCCTGGTAACAAGCACCAACACCTTCCATGCATAATACTACCGTCACCACCACCTTCCCTCCACCCGCCAAGGCTCCCCTCCACACCCGCCCTCACTACCCCACACTTACCCATAACAATAAAGCTAGCTGTACAAGGCCTACTGGCCGTACCACTTACGGGCTATTTATGCCCGGGCCACCTCTTTAGGGGCTTAATCTTTATCAATCAATCATCGCCTATTGGCCCATACAAGGCAGCTCCTCTCTCAACTAAGACGTCTCATTTTATACGTTTTAATATCCCCCAACGTACAAATTACTATCAAATGTTAGCTCGTCCTCACCAGTTGCCACAAAAGACAGAAAATGGTGTACTAAAACACCCTAACGTAACAACGATCCACGCGTACAAAACGTCAATATTTGTGAGCCGCCATTATATTTTATCCGTTGAGGATTTTGACGCCAAAATGCAATGTATTTAATGGAGAGGACAGGTTAGAAAAGTACCGGCTCACAAATATCACGTTTTCTATACATCAATAAATCAGCAACCCGTTCTCCAATAACACGTCGCATTTAGACGTGTACATTACCTAAGGCCAAAAACTGTCGTAGTACAAAATGTCGGAGGCTCGCGAAATTGACATACTGTCCCGTTTTCTATTGGTGGGTCCTGCGGTAGGTTAGTACAAGGCCCTTAAGTACGACGGCAATTCCTTGAGGTTGGGACGGCTGGCGGGGACGGCCTGGAGTCGGATCAAGTGGGTGGCTGGGTTCATAACACTTCTACTCAGGTTAGCACATGGTACGTGCAGTGGGTCATAACGAGGCATTTACAAGTGAGCCCCTTGGTGGCGCCCACTACTATCACACACACTATACCACACACATTGCCACGAGTTTAACTCAAGGTGGTATTTACAACCACCCGGTGGCCACAATTGAGGGGGATTGAAAGCACATGTTCAGAGCCAGATTTTGTTGACACCAGCGTACACACGCGTGCACGCTGGTGTCGTGCACACGTTTGTGTACGCTGGTGTCGTGCACACGTTTGTGTACACGACACCAGCGTGTCGTGTGCGTTGTGTTCACACAGCGAACACACAACGTACACATGTGAATAGTATAAACGTGGTGGGGGAGAGGGAAGGTAGTGATGATGATGGGTGAAGAAGGGATACCCGGCAATACCTGGGTAGTGAAGATAGTTACAATGACCAAGACTGCATTTGGGAGTGTGATTTTTTTTCCAACCCAACTTCAATTTGAAAATTGCATCAAATTTTCTTACAATGTGTAACTTCCTTACGCGTGATGTGATGATGGCCGTAATTGGTGTGGTATGACGCCCTGCCTTCCGATAGTGTCAGATAAACCAGTTATGTTCAATGTCATCTCATTGGGCTGGAATTAATGAGATGATTGCTACAGGAGAGAGCCCCTGGGTGGAGGGTGGAGCACCATCACACACAAGAGACCTGGTGGAGCACCAGGTGGTGGGAGGGTGATGGAGCCACCCCAGGCTCTGCCTTCTTACCCTAAACCTTCCTCCCTCCAGCACCTCATGGCGACAGAGGCCTAGGGGACACCTGGAGGAACACCGAGGTGCCATCCACGGCGGGAAGAGGCACTCATGCCAATACCGATGAAAAGTTAACTAGGGGGAGGCCTGAAATGATTGGCTTTGAGCCAGAGTTGAACTGGGGCCCACAAGTCACCAACTTAGGAGGGCGTGGGCGTAGTCTCAGAGTAGCCTCCACTTAAGTTCACCGTATATTGTGCCCAGTATGGCATACATCTGCACATGGCATACTAATTTCCCCAGACAGAATCAATGATGACTGATAGACGTAACTGTAAGAATGAAGTGATTGTATTTATATCGTCATAACCAGATTGAAGTGGAAGAGGCTTCCTCCACTGGTTGAAGACCATCTGTCACAAGTGCTTGAGTGATGAGATACTCTGGTGGTCACGACTGTACGACACACTCCTTTTCTCGGAAGTCAAGGGATAATAAACAGCTGGGGAGGGAGGGGAGGGGAGAGGTAAACAGCTGGGGAGTGAGGGGAGAGGTAAACAGCTGGGGAGTGAGGGGAGAGGTAAACAGCTGGGGAGTGAGGGGAGAGGTAAACAGCTGGGGAGTGAGGGGAGAGGTAAACAGCTGGGGAGTGAGGGGAGGGGAGAGGTAAACAGCTGGGGAGTGAGGGGAGGAGAGAGGTAAACAGCTGGGGAGTGAGGGGAGAGGTAAACAGCTGGGGAGTGAGGGGAGGAGAGAGGTAAACAGCTGGGGAGTGAGGGGAGAGGTAAACAGCTGGGGAGGGAGGGGAGAGGTAAACAGCTGGGGAGTGAGGGGAGAGGAAAGGTAAACAGCTGGGGAGTGAGGGGAGGGGAGAGGTAAACAGCTGGGGAGTGAGGGGAGAGGAAAGGTAAACAGCTGGGGAGTGAGGGAGGAAGGGGAGATGAGAAATAATGTCGTTAGTATTTGGCGGAAGTGACCTCTCCTCTCTCATGGCTTTCAACATCCACCTCACGCACATCACCACCACCTGAGCACAATACATTACCATCTTCACCACAACCACACCCCATCACCACCACATCCCCACCACCTGGACACAATACCTTACCATCTTCACCACAACCACACCCCATCACCATCACACCTCCATCACCTGGACACAATACCTTACCATCTTCACCACACACCATCACCACCACACCCCCATCACCTGGACACAATACCTTACCATCTTCACCACAACCACACCCCATCACCATCACACCTCCATCACCTGGACACAATACCTTACCATCTTCACCACACACCATCACCACCACACCCCCATCACCTGGACACAATACCTTACCATCTTCACCACACACCATCACCACCACACCCCCATCACCTGGACACAATACCTTACCATCTTCACCACACACCATCACCCCCCCCCCCCCACCTGGACACAATACCTTACCATCTTCACCACACACATCCCCCCCCTATCTTCACCGTACACAACCACCACCTGGACACACTCCACATTTACCACAAGAGACCATTTTAGGCCAACTCCATTCTGTTAGGTTTGCTTACAAGAAATGCTCCTATCTTCATTACTATTTTTGTCAAGGCTTTGAAAACTTGAATAGTATTTTCCCTATGTTGCAACTCATTTTTGTATTATCGTCGGGTGTGATCCTGCTATTAGTTTTGTTGCTCTCTCAACCTGGTAACATCTCTCCTCACCTGACATTGTATGTGTAACTTGTTGTCTCAACTAATAGGTTGCATTTTTTACACTGTAATAACCAACATAACATATACCAGTATAACCTAATGTACTATGAAAAGTGACAGCTCACAAATATGTATGTTTTCGATGTATCGAACGTGAAAGAATAGGTGGGTTGCTAGGGGTTCATGTGTTTCTGGTTAGGTTAGGAGGTTGGATTTTGAACCGAGTAGCAAAATCAAGATAATGGGCTGGTTCGTGAATCAACATAAATTAAGTGTTGTCTCAGGGGTGAAGGGGTGGGGTGTGATGGTACTGTAGTGTTTTGTAATTCAAAGTTTCTACCAGAATGACAAGTGTTTTCTCTCCTGCATCATAACACCACATGCTTCATTATAATGTCTGGTAGGCTTTTCACCCCATAACCATATTTTATGTTTCCAATAAGTGCAACATTAAATTTGTCTACAAAGAAACAACGAAGTTTATTCAATTTTAATCATTAAACAGCACAATTCCCTAGGTTCCGGGTCCCCAATTTAAGCAATTTTGAAAATATTACGGAAAAAATATATTTTTAAGTTTCTATTTTGCAAGTGTTAAAAATTCAAAATAATATTTAAAAAAAATCCATACTTCCTTGGATAAAAAAAATTAAAAATCATTAAATTCTGATACAGTATTGATATCAATTCCTGAAATTTGGATAGCGAGTTGAACCTTAATTTTATGCTTCCTTTCCTTATAGCATTCAAGGAAACAAAATATAGTGCCACATGCTCCAAAGTTCTTCTAGTTAATGATTGTTTAAGTATAACAACAAGACTATCATTTTATTTCATATTAGTAATTAGATATGTCAAATCTTAGTACCGTACAGCAGTGATATGGATTTATAAGAAAAAACTTACCTTATTTAAATTCCTGTATTGTAAAACATCATTATGACGTAAGCCAAATTCACTTCGGGTGAACCAAAATACCTTTACAGTACAGTATCTCATATTGCGTAAAGAGCCATCTAAGGGTTAAGCCCATTCTCATTATCTGTCCAAGTTATTCAGGGTCTCTCTCTTGGAAATCTTATTAAAGCAGCCTCGTTCCAAGGCTTGTACATTACAGTACTGTACTGTATACCAAAGACAGGATCTTTTGCGAGAATGGAAGCAAGACAATGGCAAGCTATTTCTCAACCAGTGTAATCAGTTTTAGGTGGGGATATGACCAACAAGCAGTGGGGGGGGGGGGTGGCAGGGAAAGAAGAAGAAAAATAAAATTTCTAAGCCTAGACTGTGATATTGGTGTTCATCACACTGACACTAACCTAACAAACATCCCTCATACATAGCTTATTCAGTTACCCTGCAACACATCACCATGCACACTGCAAGTATCAAGTTAGACCTAAAGAGATTACCCAATTACACTTCTTTGTTGGAATTTGATTTTGATTACCATGGTTTGTGGTACTTCAAGAAATCAATTCTCTCTATTTTTTAATCTAGCACTCAACAAAAGTGGCAAAATTCATCTAGTTTTCCAGACAACTCATCTGCAGGAGCAGCTGGCATAAAAAGCCTGCACACCATTTATGACCATACTCCTCTTCCTTCTGAACAACCACAGGTGAAAACAAAAGAGCAACAGCTTGCACACATACATAACAAAAATGGTGTACTCACCTGGTTGGGTTTGCGGCTCTCAATACCCTGAATGTCCAAGTAATGGAAGTGCTGATCCACCTGAAGAGAAGAAAACAAAACTTGTTACTATCATTCCTTCACTAATACATAGGTGAGAGCAGCACTTGTGAGTTACGCAAGCGATTGTGACAACGAAGTACGCAAGCCCCAGGAAGACAAGCTGGAGATCACTCTTAATCATTCCTTCACTATTTCCCTATCCCAGCTCCCATTCTGCCCTCATTTGACTTCCATGTACAATATACAGTAGTTATATTGGCTTGGCATTTTCTCCTTATAATTACTGTACCTTACCTTTCTCAAAAGTAAATTAACGAACTGTGTGCAGAATCCCATAAGCATAAAACACAGAAAAACAGTACTGTACTTCATGTAGACATTAATGCTTGTAATGTGTTAGCATACTTAGTAGGGGATACTGTATATCAAACATGGATAGGAATACAGTAAGTATAATATTGTAGTAATACAGTATAATGAATTCTGATAATTCTATAGCAGAATAGGGCTGTACATCAGGAGTCATGCCAAATACCAGTGTAAAGTGTTTACTGCAATTTTCCCTCAGTGTCCCAGCTGTTCAATTAAACGTGATAAATTTATTCATATATGTACTGTGATCTCTCGTGTGTGTGAAACATAAATACAGTATATCTAATGCAAGCCTATAAATTGTGTTTCAATCCTTTAATTGAACACTGTTGTGTAGCTTCATGTTTATTGATTCTAGAAAGCTTATATTATTATTTAATTGTGTACATATAACATTAATTTTGCTGTGTATTGAATTTTCGTCACTTTATTGATCCCTGCACATTGAACAGCATTCTATAATATCCCCAATTGTAATACCTGTATTCACATAAATGCCCACCTTTTTTTTTAAATTTGCCATATTACTTTTAAAAGTGCTTTTACTACTTTACATTGCATAAATAAATACATAGTAAGGGAATAAGTGTGAGGCAGTAGGAAGTGAGGATCAACAGGATGCTGGGTGCAGGAGGGAGCAAGGCCAGATAGCATCAGTCTGTGAAGGTGAAATTATTTTGTTTATGACAGCTCAAGAGGAACACTGTACACCCAGTCTTATGAAGTAGTGAACTCCTACTGTGAATGATAAGCTGGAGTGTGGAGGTGTAGGTTCTCTGTGATGCTATGTAGTGCAAACACAGTAATAATGTAGGTTTAATATACCAAAGTCTTTTTTAATATATTTAGGTCTCTTCCGGTAATGCCCCCCCCCCCTATTACCTCCACTTCCCATTCCATAAAAGTAGGGAATTGAGTACAGCTGGAAATAATAATAGTAAAAATAATAATAATGTTTTTATGGGGGACAGGCAGCCTGTTAATGTATATATGTTAGGCTTGTACTGAGGTACCCACAAAGTCAAACTGCTGACCCTCTCCAGGATACAACTCCACAACAGTTGACTCCTGGTACCTATTTGCTGCTAGGTGAACAGAAGCATTAGGAGAAAGGAGACGTGCCCAATCATTTTTGTCCCGCCCAGGATTTGAACCTGGGATTCCTGACTGAGTTAAGAACCAACCCAACTGTACTACTAGGTGAATATTTAGCTTATGGGGGGGGGGAAGGTAGAAATAGCCTAAGCTACTCTATCCCTTTGAGATTTTTCTTTCTTGTCTCAATAAACATACTTGAACTTGATCTAGCTTACAATACAAAATCACAAGACACTTACCCTTGTGGGCACCTTGGCTGTGAGCACGAAAAGTCGACATGATGCAAAGGCCTGAAAAAAAAGAAATCAACAATTACTAACTTCTGAAATTATCATTGAAAGCTAATGTGAAAGTTAATTTAGCCACAATGATAAAACCACACATCAGAAAATGAAGAAACAACGATGTTTTAATCCATCCTGGACCATAACATCGTCAATTCTTCACTTTCTGATGTGTGGTTTGGATGTTTATGAAGTATCAAGGGAATCCGATCCAATTAATATTTGAGAGTACAGTGCTGTATATGGTGGATTCATAATCAATTTTAGAAAACCATTTATGGCACCTCCACTGAACACCAAACAAAACTCTGACCTCCACTGCAAGATATTTATTCCTATACTGTACTGTACATTAGCTATATAGCATACTAGGCTAATAGGTCAATTTTGCGTATTTGGTCACACTGTATTTTGTTACACAGTACAATATTGGTATCTGGACAAGTTGAAGTTCATCTATGAATATTAACGATGCCAAATCGATCTGAATTTTCCACATGCAGTGCAGTGGAATGCAGAAAAATAGAGTACTGTTCATGAAATCTTTCTGGGTATGTGGTAGTGGCCGGTGGTGGTGATCGAGGAAGATATGAGGAGGAAAACCCGACATTCAAGGTTTTATGGTTCTAAAAGGCAGACTTACAACACTTAATTTTTAATACAGTATATTTAACCATTCTCAATATACATGAAAAGAACGTAATTACATCTACCATATTGCAACGTTTCCTTGAGAATCGTTTACAACCGAGACCAATGAAAGTACAGTATTTCTTAGCATCAAGGCATGCACATAAAAATAGGTGTTCTACAAACATATCCATTTTAAAGATACTGTTCTTGATCCTCCCCATGTCTTGATTATAATAATGATTTTATCTTCCACCAGGAGGCTACATGGCCCAATAACAATAGGCATCTTCTGTCACCACTTTCAAGACTTATTTATGGTTACTTTCAGGTAACCTTGAGGTAGTTCCGAGGGTCATGTCCACCATGGCCTAGCCTCTGACTAGGCAATGGAGACATTGATCTTCAGAAAACCCCTCTAGGTGACCATATGAAGGTTCAAAATTTCAAGGCAATATACAAAAATGGCATTCTCCACATATCATATGGATGCCCAATTTTTGGAAAATAAAAAATAGTTAAAAACTATAATTAACACATAGGCAATAGGGAATTCTTAATTATAACAAGGGATTAAAGATTTCTTCTTTGAAAGAAAAATGCTTCATTTGGGTAGTTATCTGTGTCCTCCCTCACAAAAAAACACTTCCTGTTGTACCTGTCAACACCTCACTAGTTACATATTTTTCTTTCTAAAGAATACATTGAAATCTAATTAATTATGACTGAAGAACAGGCAAAGAAGGCCAGCTCTTGTGCCAGGTAAGTCCACTACAGGCTCACTATAGCCCTGCTACTTGGAACTTTCTGTTCCAAGTAGCTGAATCTAAAACAACAAGGCAAAGATTTATGTCTTTTCAAAGCTAGTCAAAACTTCCATGCAGTTTATAAATAATACTTACCAATACCCGATTGTCTGTCTTGTCTCCTCTTGTTTCAACTTTAACTAGTACTTTCAAGGTCAGTTTCACTTTACGGCCAAGGCATTGACGGATGGAATCTAGAAGAGATGGAAACGGGGGCAAAATTAAGTTTATCACAAAATAATTAAAATCATGTGTATCATCCATGAATATTGAAAAATCAAAAGCACAACTGGCACAACTACCGAGGCGTAATATGTATGCTTGCTTCCGTGCTAGCTACCTAACAATATCAGAACTGATATTCTGAAATATATACAGTCCTACCATAGAACTTTGTGGCAGAACTTCTCAAAACCCTCAAAAGGATACAAACAAAAAAGTAAACAAAACTCTGGTACATGCATGACTCGCATAGAATAAATGCTAAAGTTCAAAGTCTACAAAATTAAGGTGGGTAATGCTGCTGACAAGGGTCTGTTAGGGGTACAGAGTTGTCAGAGGACAACACCATATTATCTTGTGCCTGACAAGATACAGTACAGTACATTTGGGTTCATTCTTGACTCACAATTGGGAATAAAAGTTTTGAATCCCGGGCAGGACAGAAATTGTGGGCACATTTCCTATCACCTAATGACTGATCGCCTAGCAGTAAATAGGTACCCGGGAGTTAGTCAGCATGTTGTGGGGTTCCATCCTGGGGAGGGTCAGTGGTTCAACCCTGGGTTCAATCTCAAAAGCTGTCAAAATTATACTCCGAGTTTAAGATACAAAGAGGCAGCACATAATACTGGAAGACACAGGAGAGCCAGGTCCCAAATTTGTACAGCAAAATAACATACTGGAGCAAACGATATGGTAAGCAGAGCAGAGTAGAGTCAGTGAAGAGTAGAGGTGCCATGGGCACAAACAAAGAACACTGTATGAACATCAGAGGTCCACTGCTGTTCAATATCCTCCTTGCAATCTACATAAGTATGGCCAGAATAAAAGAGGATGTTTACAAGAAAATAATAGATGAGTTCTTGTAGGAAATTCTGGACCAACTGGGCTGTAGTGGATATTTAGGCCTGCAGGCCACTCCAAACAACAGCCTGTTTGACCAAATTATCATAAGTCAAGCCTGGCCATACAGTAGACTTGGGGAGTAAAACAACTCCCAGAACCCACCCCAGGTATAACTCAGAAATACTGTATTTATTTTATTTTTTATTTATTTACAGATATTTATTTCATTTTTTATTTTTTATTTATTTTTCAAATGACAGCTAATTTTTTAACTGAAATAAGTATATACAGTACAGTACATACATTAGCTTTATATAAGTGGCATAGTTCTGTATAAGAACATAAGAACAAAGGTAACTGCAGAAGGCCTATTGGCCCATACGAGGCAGCTCCTATTTATAACCACCCAATCCCACTCATATACATGTCCAACCCACATTTGAAACAATCGAGGGACCCCACCTCGAACCACGTTACGTGGTAATTGGTTCCACAAATCAACAACCCTGTTACCAAACCAGTATTTACCCAAGTCTTTCCTAAATCTAAACTTATCCAATTTATACCTACTGTTTTGTGTTCTGTCTTGTGTTGATTCTTTTAATACCCTATTAATATTCCCTTTGTTATGTCCATCCATTCATCCAACATGTCACCCCCTAACTCTTTGCCTTTCCAGTGAATGCAATTTAAGCTTTGTTAATCTTTCTTCATATGAAAGATTTCTAATTTGGGGAATTAACTTTGTCATCCTACGCTGGAGATGTTCAAGTGAATTTATAACCATTCTATAGTACGGCGACCAAAACTGAACTGCGTAATCTAAATGGGGCCTAACCAGAGCAAGATACAGCTGAAGAACAACACCAGGTGTCTTGTTACTAACGCTTTGATTAATAAATCCTAGTGTCCTATTTGCCTTATTACGAACATTCATGCGTTAATCCTTTGATTTTAAATTCTTACTAATCATAACTCCCAGATCCCTTTTGCAATCCGACTTCGAAATCTCAACACTATCCAGCTCGTATCTTGTAACTCTATCATCATTACCTAGCCTCAGAACTTTACATTTATCAGCATTATACGGCATCTGCCAATCTTTTGACCATTTTAAAACCCTATTTAGATCAACTTGAAGTGATAGTGAGTCTTCTTCTGTGTTAATTTCCCTACCGATTTTTGTATCATTGGCAAATTTGCAAATGTTGCTACTCAAACCTGAATCTAAATCATTTATATATATATTATAAACAACAGAGGTCCCAAGACAGAGCCTTGAGGCACTCCACTTGCAACATTTTCCCACTCTGACTTAATCCCATTTAAACTGTTTCCTTTGGTATAGCCTTTTAGTAAAATGAAATATACATGAAAGATTTTGGGTCATCTTTCTCACTTAACCAATGCCATAATCTTTTACAATATAATCATATACTGCATATATTGTCTTTGTTATGTTATTACAAAGTTCTGAAATAGTCTTGACTTGGTGTTGAGAATTGTTAGCAATGGTATATACAGTATTTTTTAATGTCACCTGGGGACCACAAAGAACATTTCAATTTAAGAATTGCTTTTAAATACTGTATGTGGATGGTAAAATATTACAGATTTTTTTTTTAAGTTTGTGAGACCAAAATTGGAATACAGTATACAGAGTGGTTGGTGCCCATATCTTAAGAAGCACATCAACAATCTGTGCAAAGTCATGCAACAAAATGGCTACTGGAACTGAAGGATAAGAGCTGTAAGGAGAGGCTAGAGGTGTTAAATATATACGGTATGCCAAAGCTACAAGATAAAAGAAAAAGAGGAGATATGATGACTATGTATAAAATAGCTATGGGAATCAATAAAATTGATAAAGAAGACTTTTTGAATGCTGGAACTTCAGAAACAAGAGATAACAGATTTAAGCTAAAGAAACAAAACTACCACTAAAACAAAGTTCACGTCTGAAACCATCAATAGTGGTGGAGGCCAAAACCATCGATAGTTTCAAAGAGTCATATGACAAAGAGTACTGGCAGGAAGCCGGGCATGAGCGTAACTCTCATCCTGCAAGTACATTTGGGTAATTACCCCCAGGGACAATACAGCACATTTCAGTGATGGCTCAATGTCCAAGTAAAATATCTGTGCTATCCATGCATCAGGGATCAAATAAAAAGGTTTAGGGTATCAACCCAATAGTTACTTTAACAATTTAATTACAAAATTAAGCTCTTTGGTTCTGATACTGTACAAGAACTGTGGTACAGTTGTTAGAATGCAATCCCCAGTCTGAACCCAATTACTGTACTGTATACTCTATATATGACTAGGTGTTAAAAAGGGTTTTACACGTGTTTATGGAAAATATTTGAGTTTGTTTAGGTGATGAGAAATTAAGTTTTCTCAAATATTGTATACAGTGTTTGACCATTCCTCAGGATGTGTCCACAACTGTCAACTAACACCCAAGTATCTTTTTACTGGTAGGTGAAGAGGCATCGGGTGGAAGGAGACCCAGCTGTCTCATTCTGCCAGGATATTATCCTCATTTGTAGACCATCTTCGGGGGTTGGGGGATGTCCATGTTGGACTGTTTGGGAAGGGGCAAAATTCAGACTGCCAAGAGGATGGGAGACCAGACTTTCTTGAAGGAGGCGGCGGTGGCGTCAGACTGCCAACCAGGTGATTAGGTCAGAGACTGGATTTTGGGGATGTTGATCCTCAGAATCACGTCAAAGTATGGGGTTTGTGGGAGTCCAGACTAATTCATGATGTTTGGACTGCCTAGGGATGACTGGACTGCCTCGGGAAGTTTGGACTGCTCGGCGGCAGACAGACTATCAGTGACTACAGTGAGAGATCTAGCTCTTTACAACCTGCCTCCTAGCCGTTTATACCCAATGCACTAATTATAGATAACTGACTGTCCATGTGGTGACCTAACCAACGGACTGTGATGGCCTACCCGGACGATAACCTGCCCGGGTTACAGCCTGTGTTAAGACCTACCCAGTTTATGACCACAGTTTAAAACCTACCCGGTTATGACCAACCCAGGTTATGAACTGCCCGGGTTACAGCCTGTGTTAAGACCTACCCAGTTTATGACCACAGTTTAAAACCTACCCGGTTATGACCAACCCAGGTTATGAACTGCCCAGGTTACAGCCTAACTGGGTCATGACCCGCCCTGGTCATGACCTACCCAGTTTATAAGGTGCCCGGGTTATAACCCGCCTGGATGATAAGACTGCCTCAGTTATCCATTACCGAGCCAAATGTTGCCCTACACACTAACAAGTGTCCACCGCCTGCAACACCAGCGTGGCCACGAGACGCAACACTTGCAACTCCGTGTTAACCTCTTGTGATGTGAGGTCATTGCCAAGGCTCTGAGAGTGGCGGCGGCCCCAGCCTCCCACACCTCCACAACAATATATATATACCAACTATTCCCCATTTACACCCTGGTGCTCGTCTAAGCACAAGCGTCGACCAGGTACATCACTGTATTTATATATATAACCGAGTAACAATTGAGATTCTGGTCTAACCTGAGCGTTGTTTACATTTCAACATCACCATTTAAATACTTACCACTCAGTTCTCGCGTTATTATGTTCCTCCCAGTCATCTTGCCAGGTTTATATGCCCACGGGTAATATATCACGACATTCTACACCGATCTGGATATGTTTCACTTCGTTGTGAGTACAAAATGACGTTCTTTATGTGTAAAACAGGAGAGCAGCTCAAATAGGAGTGTCTCTAGCACTACTCCATGTTTGTGACGTCACACTCCCTGGGCGCGCCGCTGCCAAACCTCTCACCCCACTTTATACTTAACTCTCAAAAAACCTCCCCAATCATTAACTCAAATCAACCAAGATTAAATTTATGAATAATAATCATGTATTTTGGTTTATTGTGTGTGTAGAGGTTGAATACATCGGTGGTGGTAGTGGGGTTATTTGGCATGATGTTTGGCGCCCTTTCCCGAGGTGAGACTTGTATGGGAATGATTCACTGTAAATGACTGGCAGTCATTCATTACCTCTACCTTCATATATCACTTGTCACACTCATAACTCTAAACAACCTAGGCCCAAACATTTAGACCTATCAACTTTAGTCGAGTGAGACATTTACTGATTAACTACATACTGTTTATCTCTTACTTCTATGATGCAACTATAAGTACATACTGTATATATATACAATATACAACACAACAAGTACTATATATACAACTCTTACCTCTATGATGCAACTATAAGTACATATATATATACAATATACAACACAACAAGTACTATATATACAACTCTTACCTCTATGATACAACTATAAGTACATATATATACAATATACAATACAATAAGTACTATATACAACTCTTACCTCTACGATACAAGCACAACTAGACGAGTGCAGTGACTTACCTTTGACTACTCTCAGCTCCAAACAATCCATGTCATAACTCTGCATTTTTTAAACTGTTCTTAGTTAGGATTGTGATGTGTAGTGGCCATGGTTGACACTACCGGGAATAAGCGCGCGCTATCATCACAGGCACCTTTACCCGGTGATAAGATATCTTGCGTGAAACATGGCATGATATCTGATAATGACGGCTGTTCAAAATGACTTAATTTATAATTGTTTTACATAGCTGACCTGCTCCTCTCAACGTCTTAATGACCAAATAAAGGTATATAGGTGTACATATGACTGAATAAATTCCATATATACATGTAGTCATATGCAAATAAAAGTTAAATAGGTGAAACATACAACACATGCCCCCATGTCCTAGCTCCAAGGATGTGAGAGTTAGTTAGTTTAGTTCATTTATTATGTACCCCATACCCATCTTGAGGGCGGTAGTAGAAAGGGTTACAGAGGCACATAATGGGTTCAGGAACTGAAAACCACAATTCATTCAGCTAAGCAAGTTACAATCTTGATGGGCTAGTTACAAAATTCAGCTTCAGGATGTGAGACACTCGTCTTGAAGTGTCTAATATCCTTGCGTGCAGAAATGCAATCTAAGAGTCTACGAGCAATAGCATAAAATCCGTCCTATAAATTTTAGCATCGCCATTTACTGCAAAATTAATCGACAATAAACAGATGTTGTCATTTATAATTCGCACAAATGGGTCTTTTCAAAGCACAGAGAGCAAACACTTTGAACTGGGAACTCCACAAGGAGAGGTCCTCAGCACCTTGTTATTCAACGTTCTGATGCATAAACTTATTAAAGATATTCCTACTAATAATGAAGACACTGTCATTTGTTATGCTGATGATATATGTTTACAGGCTGCCTCCAAGCCTAGAATGTCAGTTCTGCTCGATGCTTTTGCTGCAAGAGCTGAAGAATGTGGCCTCCTTCTTATCTCTCTACAGAAAATTCGTACCCTCATTCCATGTGGTATATTCCACCAGCCAATTATCATATAGATGGGCGAGCACTTGAGAACTGCGAGTCTTACAGGTACCTTGGTGTCCCCATTAACGACCCGGGGGTAACTTGGTGTACCCATTAACGACCGTGGGTACCTTGGTGTCCCTATTAACGACCGTGGGTACCTTGGTGTACCCATTAACGACCGTGGGTACCTTGGAGTACCCATTAACGACCGTGGGTACCTTGGTGTCCCCATTAACGACCCAGGGTACCTTGGCGTCCCCATTAACGACCCAGGGTACCTTGGTGTCCCCCATTAACGACCCGGGGTACCTTGGTGTCCCCATTAACGACCCTGGGTACCTTGGTGTCCCCATTAACGACCCGGGGTACCTTGGTGTCCCCATTAACGACCCGGTGTACCATTATGTCCCCATTAACGACCCGGGGTACCTTGGTGTCCCCATTAACGACCCGGGTACCTTGGTGTCCCCATTAACGACCCAGGGTACCTTGGTGTCCCCATTAACGACCCTGGGTACCTTGGTGTCCCCCATTAACGACCCAGGGTACCTTGGTGTCCGCATTAACGACCCAGGGTACCTTGGTGTACCCCCATTAACGACCCTGGGTACCTTGGTGTCCGCATTAACGACCCTGGGTACCTTGGTGTCCCCATTAACGACCCGGGGTACCTTTCTTCTCTCAAGAGGAGACTCTGGGAAAGATTAAAGCCCTTGCGGGTCCTTGTTGGTGTCAATCATGGAATTAACGTAAGACTTGCTAGAATGTTCTATGTATCATTTATCCGCTCTGTGATTGACTACAATGTTCTACATCTCACACTGTATATATACAGTATACTAAGAGCTAAAATCCCTTGAATTCTCGGAAAATGAAGTGGGACCAAAGACCTGAAACTCAACCCCTGCAAGCACAATTAGGTGAGTACGACAGAGCTGATCTTACCAAGCTCCCCAAATTAGAAGCCTGTCATATGAAGAGAGATTAACAAAGCTTAAATTGCATTTACTGGAAAGGCAAAGAGTTAGGGGTGACATGATAGAGGTTTACAAGTGGATGAATTGACATAACAAAGGGGGATATTAATTGGGTATTAAAAGTATCAACATAAGACAGAATAAGAAACAATGGGTATAAATTGGATACGTTTTGATTCAGGAAAGACTTGGGTAAATACTGGTTCGGTAACAGGGTTGTTGATTTGTGGAACCAATTACCGCGTAATGTGGTGGAGGTGGGGTCCCTCGATTGTTTCAAACGTGGGTTGGACATGTAAATTAGTGGGATTGGGTGGTTATAAATAGGAACTGCCTCGTATGGGCCAATAGGCCTTCTGCACTTACCTTTGTTCTTATGTTCTAAGAGAACATTTTACCAACTGCACCATGTCCAGCAACTCACAAAAGTGACGTACCTCCCGTTTTCTATAAGTCGTCCAGCTTACTCAGTAAGGTTAGGGGAGGAAACTTTCAATTAACGTTTTGAAACTTTATGAGAATTTCCTGCCCACCTAACCTATCAGAGGACCTTAACTTACTGTTGTTGAAAAAAAAATTATTTTCATATTTTTTTCATTTTCATATTACGTCCACTTTCAGCCATACAGGTAAACGGCCAAAAGCGACGTTATTTTTAAGAGGACAGGTTGGGTACCTTCTGTAATTCTATCAGACATGTATATTTTAACCCTTAAGCAACTCCTAACTATTTGCAATTACCTCCTGTGCACAAATAACCAAATGCAATACTGTATTTTTTACATTCATTTTGTTAATAATTTTTTGTCCTTTATACCACAATGTAGGACTTATAAGTAGCCAAGCTGTTTAAGGGTTAATAGTGTACTCAAGAAAAATTCAGTCCTGCAATAACCACATTTTTTAAATACTGTACTATACTGAAAAAATGGTTAAGCATATTCTTTATATGATAAAGTCTTTATTGTCTAATAGCCACAAGTAACTCCACTTCCTTCACCATACAAAAATACATTTCAAAGGGAATAAGGCATCAAAGGGAGAGAATCATCAGAAGGATTTCAAAGCCAAGAGCTAAATTTTAAAAGTTTAAGGCTTCTTCTATGGCTTTTCATTAAAATAGATCTGTACAAACTACTTATACCTTGCCATATTCATACAGTGACATCTGACATTCTTGTTCCACTAATAACCCCACCCTTCACAGAAAACAATTATCCATTCACAATATCAGTGACAATTGCCCCTATTAATATGTGCATAATTTCAAACCCTTTCCCTATTCTCTCAGTATCTATTTTTTTTATTTATATATATACAAGTTCTTACATTCTTGTACAGCCACTAGCACGCATAGTGTTTCAGGCAAGTCCTTAATCCTATGTTCAACGGAATACGACCCGCCAAATCGTTTAACAACCAGGTACTCATTTTATTGTTGGGTTAAACAGAGGCTACAGTTAAAGAGTTGCGCCCAGTAAATCTTCCCCGGCCAGGATACAAACCCAGGGCAAAGTGCTTGCGAAACACCAGGCGAGCATCTTACCACTATGTCATGGGGACATTCAATATTCTTCTCCTTCAATGTTCACACATTCTCTACCCAACCCTTTACATGTCAAAGATTTATTGCCGATTTCGAGGTTCATACATATGTTTCCTAAATTTTTCATCTAAATATTTACCAACCATTGAATGTTCATACATATCTCCCCTGGCCTTTCAAGTCAAACATTTGCTACCCATTTGATATCCATACCATTGATAATCAAGGCCTCCCCCTTTTGATAAAAATTTGAATTCTTCAAGTCATTAATTAACAGGACTGGTTCTCAGGATAATGTATGCTTCAGATTTAAAAATATTTTAACCCAATATTTTCTACGTTGGGCTACACATGTATAGCAAACATACGTATAAACTCTGCCAACTTACACTTTTTTTGTAAAACCTAGAGGGTATAGTATATTATTTCTATCACCAAGTTGTACAGAAACATGCCTGTGAATTTTAATTAAAATGTTTATTTTTATGTTCTCTTGAACATAAAACTATGTCCTTTATGTAAACATACATAAAGGACAGATAATGCAAAGAGAAACAGTCATAAGGCCCATCAAGGGCTTACACTGCCCTAATACTCATTTTCACAGCCTTCAATTTCAACCTTAGTGTTTTGCTTAAACTTATTAATAACCACATGCACACACTCATCATTCATGATTCTATTCTTCAAAGGATGTAAATAAACTTATTTTTTGTCTCTTCTGCTTTTACTCTTCTCTCGTAATTCAAGCTTTTTCTGTCTTCTCACACTAGCTAGAATATTCTCAAAATTTGTAGTCTTCTTCTTTGCACTACCCTTTGGTCCTGCACTGCCTGGCGTTCGACGGGGCGTCAGTCGCACAGATGCCGGTTCATCATCAAAATCAAAACCTGATGTGTCAACTCTGTGGATGAGAATATACAGTTCAATGGAGAACCACTAATAGAAAAAAGGTGTCATTAAACAATGATTATTGTTTTTAATGACACTCATTGTTATTAGAAATGGACAACAGGTGTAATAGAAATAAATCTTTAATGACACTCTCATGTGAATCCCCTGCATAGCAGTGGATTCCATAGCAGTGCCTTTTTCCCCTCACCTTCAATGCCTCTGCACTGGAAGTCCACCTCTATAACAGCAAAGTTGAGCCATCAGCCCTGCCACCTCTCCTACCCCCCTAGGGCCTGGCACGATTCAGAGGCAAGCTGGACGCCTCTGCTAACCAGTAGTTTGCCTTCACAAACAAGCAGTTAGCTGCCTTCAACTAGCAGTAGTGCAGTTGAACATAAAGGCACCGCCAGCCACAAACTAGCAGTTTGCTAGTTGACCAGATGTCCACCTTGCCTTGACACTGGACGAGTCATCACCGCCGGACTATATAAAGGGCACCGTCTCCCTGGAGAGCCTTAAAAAAAGGCACTACGGGCTCGCCATAGCCCGTGCTGCTTGGAGCTTTGTTCCGGGTGGCAAATCTTTAACAACAACAACCCTGGAGAGCCAGTCTCTCTCTCTCTCTCTCTCTTAGTGCGCTTGGATCACCTTGATCTCTCTCACCCGTCATCTGCCCTCAGCTTACACCGTGTGTCTGATGCCATGGTGGTATGGTAGCTGTCTTCAGTACAACAGTATATCTTCAGCTTTGTATTCATTGAATTTCTTAGTTTATTTTTGTATTAATTTTCATATTATCTTGTCCACCTTTGCATCTTATGATCGCCAAGTGTTCTCAGGCAACCCGTTCTCGCAAATTCGTAAAGTCAATATTGACTTATTAACTACGTGCATAGGTGATATACTAAACATAATAGATACCCTTAAAAAGATTCATAGAAAACACCGACCTTACCTAACCTTGTTAGTATCTTAAGATAAGCATCTTATTGCTTCGTAATTACAATTATTACTTAACCTATACCTATTATAGGTTAGGTAATAATTGTAATTACGAAGCAATAAGGTGCTTATCTTAACATACTAAGTAGGTTAGCTAAGTAGGTTAGTCAATATTGACTTATTAAATTTGCGAGAACGGGTTGTCTCAGGTGCCATTTTTGTTCATTAATATTTCAGTAAATTGTTTTAATTATTTATTTAATGATTTTAATTTGTTTCTACCTGCGACTTACACACTGCAAGGGCCAATAGCAGCATTTTTTTAAATTTATGTGAGGGAGAGCCATATTACCTTGGTTCAGTATAGCTGCGATGTCACAACCCGTCACAACATGTTTTAATGAAAAAACCAGCGTTGAATGTAATGAAACGCCATTTTCTGGGAGAGTCCCAGAGGCTCACCAGAGCTATACCGAGCTGGTATATATGTATTAGACCGTGGCATCAGTCAATTCGAATGGAGTTCTAGCCTACCAGGGACATTGAGCCAGAACCTAGCCCCCTCAGAGAGGCACGAGGAACAATGGTCTGTAGAAACCCCCCATGTGATTGGAAGCATTCTGTGTCTGCCATCTACCAAGTTAGGGACCCAGAAAGGTAGGTTTTCCAAACAGACCCCAACTGGTGAAACAGTACTACCTAAAACTGAACTGCTAAGCAGAACTCCCCAATCTGAAAACAAGCAAACAAGAATGATGTCACACCCACCGCCACGCCACTTGTCTGTGTAGCTCCCTCCTCCCTGGGAGTGGGAGGGGTGAGACCCAGATCCTGCACCAGATATCCACCCTCAATTCAGAGGCGGAATGTCGATAATGCAAAGAAAAATGCCAACCGGAGGAAGGGAGGGTTGCCGGGGAGCCTCCAGGACTCACTCAGAAAATGGCGTTTCATTACATTTAATACTGGTTTTCTGTGGAGAGCCCCTCCTGCTCCCCAGAGCTTCCTAACCAAAGACAAGTAAAAGAGGGACTTACCCGGGAGGTGACCACCATTCATGTCTCAACTCGAAGTCGAGACAATTGGCTGCAACCTGCGACCCAAAGTGACACACGTCCGACTAGGGCCTGGAACCTCCAAAATCCCCGCACCCGAATGCCAGCCCAAGACATACAGTATTACCAAAAACAGTAGCTAAAGCAGCAAATTTGCGAACATCATAGGCACGAGGATAAACATGACGCATAACGTCACACTGGTTGCATGTTGCATGACGTCACACCGGTGGGTGTGACGTCTTGCTTGTTTTCAGATTGGGGAGTTCTGTTTAGCAGTTCGGTTTTAGATAGTACTGTTTCACCAGTTGGGGTCTATTTTGGGACACCTATCTTTTTGAATGCCTAACTCAGTAGATGGCAAACATAGAATGCTTCCAACCACATGGGGGTTTCTATAGGCTATTGCTCCTCGTGCCTCTCTGAGGGGGTTCAGGTTCTGGCTCGTGGTCCCTGGTAGGCTAGAACTCCATTCGAATTGACTCATGCCACAGTCTAATACATACATATCATCCCAGTATAGGTCTGGGGGAGCCGGAAGGGCTCTCCACAGAAAAAGCGTCATTAAACAATGATAATTGATAAAACTACCTTCATGAAAAAGTCCATTACTGTCATAAGTGAATTCAAGCAAGGGAAAAAATTCAAGCATTGAGTAAAGAAACAGTGCACAACAACCACAGGACAGAGTGCATAATAGACCTTGGTTGGTAAACAAAGAACATCCTAGATAGCTGGAAAAAGAGGTGAGGACTTGTACACCAACATGAAAGTCAGGGAGAGGCACTCCACCAAACCAAAAGCAAAATAAGGTACTTGTATAGATTGTCATCGAAATATCAAGAAGAATTAGGCAGGAAATGAAAATCAATGGCAATGGATATAAAGGACAAATATTGAAAAGAAAAAGTCAGAAGGTCCACCAAGGCTCCATACAACATTGCCGAGAATAAAGTTGCCAACACAGCACCTAGAAGCAGCCACTCTCTTCTGGCACAAGTAAGACACAAGGTCAAGAAACCCCATACACTAAGATCAGTGGAGGGCTGAAAAGCATCAAGGTTGGGTGTGCCGCTGAACCCTGAGAAGAAGCAAACCCTTTGCAAGGGAAAGGATCATGACATTGCATAAAAAGGGCAAGAAACTAGGACTGTACTGGCCACATGAAAGCCTAGAAAAGAACATAGCCTGGAACATAAGCGTTAGCGTTACCGAGCCGGAGGGGGAGCCAGCTCACCACCCCAGTTTTTGAATGATGAAAACCGCCGACTGGAAAAAGGGAGGAAGGGGTGTCAGGGAGCCTCCGGAGCTCACCCAGAAAATAGTTTCATTACATTCAGAGGCTTGACTGGACAAGAAGGATAAGAACGGAGGAGGCTTTACTGACCAGGAGGCTTGTGCCGCAGGGACATTGATCCTCCAAATCACCACAAGGCAGCTACAAGGTAGGTAAGTAATGATCATGTAGCTTGTTTACCCTAAGGATGCCATATTGCCTTCAAACAGTTACTGTTTTATTGTGCCCATGCTTTCTGGTAAAGCAAGCCATATTCTGGTCTTATCTCCTGGTAGGTGATGGATGGAGTCTCGGAGACCAGTTGTGTTGGGCTGAGGCTTGGCAGTACCCAAAGAAACCTCAGAGTTACTTAGGGGTCCCTTCCAGAAAGAGGCAGAATATTTGGGGGGTATCTAACTGAAATAATAAATTTCTTTAAGAGTATGAGCATTCCTTGCATTTATGATGATATTATGTGCATTAGACCATTATCTACATTGTATAATGTCTTTTTATGGTGTAACTGGAAAGAACACATCCATTCATTATTAGAAATCAAACAAGAGGAAAGCTACCCAAAAATATATATATAAACCTCTCAATAAATATATAATTATTTTGCAGTTAAGCTTACTGTATTTATATTATATGTACAATGATATTGTCTCTGAACACAAAGTCTAGTATTAAGTTACTGTCATTTTGACAAACTTTCTTTTTTTTATGCTGATACTGGAAAGAGCAGGTAACTTTCATATAAAAAACTAAAAATTATATACATTTAGGCTAGAAATGTATAGGGCCAAAGCAGAAATGACACAACCAAAGGGTTAACCATATATAATAAAGCTATATCACTAGACAATGAAGCAACAAAACTGAAATTTAATGTATTTTATAATGTACTAGAAAAACAGTACACACAAAATAAACTAAAGCATACTTCTCGGTTTCTTTCTCCTTTTCACTTTCAGAGTCACTTTGTGAGGGTGTTGGGGAGCGTCTGCCTAGCTCCCACTTCCATGTTAGGGGCAGAGTGCCATCGTTTGCTAGGGTCTCGTACAGTCTGACAATTTCAGCAGGACAAGGCTCAATACCTGAAATAAAAAATAACGCACGGTTTTTATTTGCATACAAAAGGCAGGGTAGACTTACCAGAAGCATATCAAGTCCTAAACCCACAACCTGGACAGAGCAGCACCCCAGGCCTAATCACTGACAACAGTGAGCAGCCGCGTCAAACAGCCTGGTTGATAAGACGACCAACCAGGAAGCCTGGTCAGAAACCGGACCGCAGGGCCATTGAACCCAGGAAGCTACACAAGGTAGGTTAGGGTGGGTTAGGTTAAAATGGGTTTAATTGGGTTAGATAGCTTGGGTTAGGATAGGCAAGCTTAAAAATCAGCTAGGAAATTGCCCCCCCCCCCATGTTCAAAGTGATCTGTATTTGTTTAACTTTAGGACCTGTACAAAATGCTGTATTAGTGGTTTTGCAAGAATGTACCTGTACCACTTAACCGAGCACGAGCATGAGGCAAAATGAAATCAACACCAGTAATTCCATCTATCATCATACTATCATGCAAGAGGAGCCACACATCTATGGATCATCCAATAAAATCAGCAGACTTCTAGATGTTACTACTGCTCGGCTTAGACTCTGTTACAAGTATCTATGGGAGTTCTCATTATCTGCCGATATAGACCCGACCAAGTGTAAACAGTGTCAACAAAATTATTCGCACACCCTCCGTTTCTATGTGATGGAGTGCGAAAAGATACATGAATTCAGCGACAATTCTATAACCACAATTCTATAACCAATGTACCAACGATGTGTCAATATTTCATTCAAAATGATCTGCTACCAGAAATTTTAGCCAAATATCCCCAGTTTGCTAACTGTAGGTAGTAACTAAGAGTGATTGTAACCTATCCACCGAGGGAGCCGGTCGGCCGAGCGGACAGCACACTGGACTTGTGATCCTGTGGTCCTGGGTTCGATCCCAGGCGCCGGCGAGAAACAATGGGCAAAGTTTCTTTCACCCTATGCCCCTGTTACCTAGCAGTAAATAGGTACCTGGGTGTTAGTCAGCTGTCACGGGCTGCTTCCTGGGGGTGGAGGCCTGGTCGAGGACCGGGCCGCGGGGACACTAAAGCCCCGAAATCATCTCAAGATAACCTCAAGATAACCGCTGCCCACTGGATGGGGGGCGGTGTGCAGGACAAACATATCAATTGTGACACTAGCTCTCCACATATGTCAGTTGCTTAATTTAGAAACTGTACTTGAGGTCGATCTTGAACCCATTGTTGATGTGACGACTTACATTGAATTTTGTAACTAGCTTATCAAAATTGTAACTTGCTTAGCTAAATGAATTGTGGGGTTCAGTCCCTGAGCCCATTATGTGCCTCTGTAACCCTTTCCACTACCGCCCACAAGATGGGTATGGGGTGTATAATAAATGAACTAAACTAAACTACCACTTAACCACCAGTGTTTGTATTTTCACAGCCCATTATACCTCCTTGTATATATGAAATGTAATCATTTTATTGGGGACAGGCAGTCTGTATATGTATATATGTTAGATTTGTTTAGAGGCCCCCCCCCTAGGTGGAACTGCTGACCCTCCCCAGGATGCAACCCTATAACAGTTACCTAACTCCCCAATACCTATTCTGCTAGGTGAACAGAGGCATCAGGTGCCCAATCATTTCTGCCCCGCCCAGAACTCAAAGCCAGGTTATATACCTTAAAAAACCCATCTACAAACACACCAGTTATGGGGCCTGGAACTTGCTCTCACTCACCATACACAGACTTGGTAAACTCTTTTTGGACCTCTTCATCGCTACATTCTATATTAAAGGCATCTTCTCCCATCGTCTGGGTTAATATGAGACGTGAAAATTATGTTTTGGGCGTGATAATGACAGTGTCAGGAGGTGAGGCGCGTGATGGTGGCCAGCTTGGGGGCCAGAGGGACAGGCGTCTACCGTCTTTTTTTACCGTCTTAAATGACGGTAAAAATCTGGCTGCGGTAATTATGCTGATCTAGGGGTGACAGTGACTGTCCGTGAAATGTGTCTAGTCCCAGCTTGTAGATAATATTTTGTCAACAATGTTATGGTCGAGTGTGGTGGTTGGTTGAGGTTCCTGACACTTCCAGAACCTTCTAGGCGGCGATCATAGAAAACTACTTTACTAGGGAGACTTTATAATCTTTAAATCTTTAATTTATAACACAATGAAGTTATAACTTGAGAATATACTTTGTTTAGGACAAAGGTTCACTTGCCTGTTTTCAAGCAGATTAGTTTTGGTAGCATAATATGCCCTCATTTCGTCACAAATACGTAGATAAGTATCCAAATGGTCGCTGACGGGTTCCCATTTTGTATCACTTTTCCCTCACATGTACCTCTCCATCTTCAAATAGAAAAAATTTTTATTACAGTGTATAAAAACTATGGGAGAAGCGATTTTTAACAGATACAAGCGACGACCTGGCCATGGAACAACACAAGGAGATAAAACAACGCGGGAACCTGCACCAGCAAGAATTGATGGACGTAGACGAAGCAGAAATGGAGCTCAAGATGCCGGATCCCCCACCTCTTCCCCCCCCTCGGTGGGGCGAGACCCTCCTCGGCGGGGATCGCCCCGTCCCCAGCCACCCCCCTAACCACCATCCATACCACCCCCGCCACCACCCCTACCACCCCCGCCACCACCCCTACCACCATCACGGGAGACATCTCCCATCACGCAGGGTGCAGCCACACCTCCACAGATCTCCAGTATCAGCTCTTGATACTGGTAATGGCTCAAAAGGGCCACCACTTACGGGCTATTCATGCCCGTGCCACCTTTTGGGTGGCTTAACCTTCATCAATCATCAATCAATCTACTACCATCCCTACAACCCACAACAACAACAACAACAACAACAGGAGGAGGATAAGGAAAGTATGGACATTGACGAAGAAAATATGGATTATGAGGTTGAGCCGCAACAATTAAACACGGAGCCATGTCAACACTCATATATTTAGTAAAAAAAAAAAAAAAAAAAAAGTTACAGCTTTCAAGTAACTTCAGAAAGTACTGTTAACATATTAGGTTGATTGTTTAAATATAAGTAATATAAAAATGTAAGAACTCTTGTACCTGTATATTTAAATAACAAAAATAAAAAAAGTGCCGATGTATATATAGAATTTGTTTTATTGCATATCCTTTTCCCCCACACAAAAAAATTCTTAAACTTGAACTTGAACTTGAAGGTCTCCAATGTTAGGATTAAAGTATTTTGTCGCATTAAGTACTACAAATGTTAGGTGCACAATGTTTAGAGCAGATGCTCTTTTGTTTTAAAGTATTTAAAGTATTGTAAATAGTAAGTCATGATACCCATACTCGGTGACGTATTTTTTGTTATGATTACACACACAAAATTGAGTTGGATACGAGCATCACAATCTCTGCTGTAAAAGCCGCAGTATATCAAGAAATTAGGGAAGACAGAAGCAGTTACTGGCACTCAAAGGCTAGAAAGCACGAGTATAAAGAGCTATGACATGTTTAGAACCGAGAATTATATTTTCTGCGGTTGGAAGAAAACGCTCATAGAGTGGGGGGAAAGTTATACATAGCTTCCTCAGTAATGAAAACCTAAGCATCTGCTAGCCTCCTCAGTAATGAAAACCTAAGCATCTGCCTGCCTCCTCAGTAATGAAAACCTAAGCATCTGCTAGCCTCCTCAGTAATGAAAACCTAAGCATCTGCTAGCCTCCTCAGTAATGAAAACCTAAGCATCTGCTAGCCTCCTCAGTAATGAAAACCTAAGCATCTGCTAGCCTTCTCAGTAATGAAAACCTAAGCATCTGCTAGCCTCCTCAGTAATGAAAACCTAAGCATCTGCTAGCTTCCTCAGTAATGAAAACCTAAGCATCTGCTAGCCTCCTCAGTAATGAAAACCTAAGCATCTGCTAGCCTCCTCAGTAATGAAAACCTAAGCATCTGCTAGCCTCCTCAGTAATGAAAATCTAAGCATCTGCTAGCCTCCTCAGTAATGAAAACTTAAGCATCTGTTAGCCTCCTCAGTAATGAAAACCTAAGCATCTAACTGGGCCTCCACTCTTCAAACAGAATTGGTTGCCATAATCCTTGCACTAGAGCGCGTATATGAATCCAAAGTTGACACGCTAATTGTAAGTGACTCCTTGTCATCCTTGACTGCCCTCAGTTCCCCAAGGCATAACTGTGACGTGCTTATCTCTGAAGCTAGACACAGATATAGTGAAATAATCAATGATGGAGTCAGAGTTTGTCTCCTGTGGATTCTTTCCCATATTGGTCTCCGAATGCATGATAGAACTGATGAGCTAGCCAAGACTTTTGCTCGTAAAGAGGGAATTGATTACCAACTTGGACTGCCTTTGAGCAGCCTGAGGGCAGCAATATCCCAGGAACATCAACTAAATTTCGGAGACTTGAGGCAAAGTGAAATTCACACCAGTTACTCCATCTATCATCATTCTATTATGCATGAAGAACCGCACGTCTATGGGTCATCCAATAATGTTAGCAGACTTCTAGATGTTACCACTGCTAGGCTTAGGCTCGGCTACAAGTACCCCTGGGAGTTTGTAACATCTGCTGATGTAGATTTGACTAAATGTAAACTCTGTCAGCAGAACTATTCGCATACTTTGCGTCATTATATAATGGAATGTGAAAAAAATGCGGAGTTTAGAGATAACACCATCAATAGTGTCCAAGAAATGTGTAAGTACTTCATTCATAATGATGTGCTGCCCGAAATTTTAGCGAAGTATCCAAAATTTGCATACTGTAGGTAATGCATGCACATGACTGTAAAGCTGCCGCCCAGTTGGGTGGGTGTGCAGCAAGACTAGTAACTGTTTGACTCACTATAGATGTAAAGTGCCTCGTATAGTGACTGTTGTGAGCCTCTTGTAATGTCACTTGTGACACAAAGATTATTGATGTGTGTAATTGTGTGGGTGATTAGATATGTATGTGTATGTATATGTGTATACGTATATATATATGTACATGTATGAATGAGGGTGTGTACATGTGTATACAACATTGATAATTTTGTAACTAGCGTCAAACATTGTTATTTGCTTAGCTAAACGAACTAGAGGGTTCAGTTCCTGAACCGATTATGTGCCTCTGTAATCCTTTACACTACCGCCCACGGGATGGGTATGGGGTGCATAATAAAGAAAGAAATTGAATTGCTAGCCTTCTCAGTAATGAAAACCTAAGCGCGCCGCGGACTCAGCGACCTCTTGCTTGCCTCCGCCTCGCCAGATACACTACAAAACGCCCACCCTCCTCCCGGGAAACCCTGCTTCCCCGGTTTTACTTTCCAAGGGAAGACGCAAAAGCAGTTTGCTGGGGACACTTGTACCATCTTGCAAGTTGTACCATAACACTTGTACCATATGTGTTACCTTGGGGTGCTCCGACGGAACCCCCAAAGTGATAAGCCAAAAATACCAAGAATTGGAATTACCATAAATTCAATCTTGCAACTTTCATTTAGAGATCTCTCTTCATTGTATTTGATTTAATCATTATAACGGCTATCCATTAATGTTATTTCTGTATAATAATTTATGGTTATTCACTAATTATTAGTCACCATAATTAATTCCACTTTAATCATCTATTTATTCGTTATAATGAGCTACTATGCTTCTTCATTTAAGGATTATCAATTAAATCATTAATTATGACTTATTAATTAATTATTTGTTTTAAATAATTAATTATTATTATTATTATAAAATAAACAAGTCCCCCACTCAGTGAGCGTTTTCTTCCAACCGCAGAATTATATTTTCTGCGGTTGGAAGAAAACGCTCACAGAGTGGGGGGAAAGTTATACATAGCTTCCTCAATAATGAAAACCTAAGCATCTGCTAGCCTCCTCAATAATGAAAACCTAAGTCATCTGCTAGCCTTCTCAGTAATGAAAACCTAAGCATCTGCTAGCCTTCTCAGTAATGAAAACCTAAGCATCTGCTAGCCTCCTCAGTAATGAAAACCTAAGCATCTGCTAGCCTTCTCAGTAATGAAAACCTAAGCATCTGCTAGCCTCCTCAGTAATGAAAACCTAAGCATCTGCTAGCCTTCTCAGTAATGAAAACCTAAGTCATCTGCTAGCCTTCTCAGTAATGAAAACCTAAGTCATCTGCTAGCCTTCTCAGTAATGAAAACCTAAGCATCTGCTAGCCTCCTCAGTAATGAAAACTTAAGCATCTGCTAGCCTCCTCAGTAATGAAAACCTAAGCATCTGCTAGCCTTCTCAGTAATGAAAACCTAAGCATCTGCTAGCCTCCTCAGTAATGAAAACCTAAGCATCTGCTAGCCTCCTCAGTAATGAAAACCTAAGCATCTGCCTGCCTCCTCAATAATGAAAACCTAAGTCATCTGCTAGCCTTCTCAGTAATGAAAACCTAAGTCATCTGCTAGCCTTCTCAGTAATGAAAACCTAAGCATCTGCTAGCCTCCTCAGTAATGAAAACCTAAGTCATCTGCTAGCCTTCTCAGTAATGAAAACCTAAGCATCTGCTAGCCTCCTCAGTAATGAAAACCTAAGCATCTGCTAGCCTTCTCAGTAATGAAAACCTAAGCATCTGCTAGCCTCCTCAGTAATGAAAACTTAAGCATCTGCTAGCTTCCTCAGTAATGAAAACCTAAGTCATCTGCTAGCCTTCTCAGTAATGAAAACCTAAGCATCTGCTAGCCTCCTCAGTAATGAAAACCTAAGCATCTGCTAGCCTTCTCAGTAATGAAAACCTAAGTATCTGCTAGCCTCCTCAGTAATGAAAACCTAAGCATCTGCTAGCCTTCTCAGTAATGAAAACCTAAGCATCTGCTAGCCTCCTCAGTAATGAAAACCTAAGCATCTGCTAGCCTCCTCAGTAATGAAAACCTAAGCATCTGCTAGCCTCCTCAGTAATGAAAACCTAAGCATCTGCTAGCCTTCTCAGTAATGAAAACCTAAGCATCTGCTAGCCTCCTCAGTAATGAATCATCTGCTAAGCATCTGCTAAGCATCTCAGTAATGAAAACCTAAGCATCTGCTAGCCTCCTCAGTAATGAAAACCTAAGCATCTGCTAGCCTCCTCAGTAATGAAAACCTAAGCATCTGCTAGCCTCCTCAGTAATGAAAACCTAAGCATCTGCTAGCCTCCTCAGTAATGAAAACCTAAGCATCTGCTAGCCTCCTCAGTAATGAAAACCTAAGCATCTGCTAGCCTCCTCAGTAATGAAAACCTAAGCATCTGCTAGCCTCCTCAGTAATGAAAACCTAAGCATCTGCTAGCCTCCTCAGTAATGAAAACCTAAGCATCTGCTAGCCTCCTCAGTAATGAAAACCTAAGCATCTGCTAGCCTCCTCAGTAATGAAAACCTAAGCATCTGCTAGCCTCCTCAGTTTTTTTTTTTTAGTTTAATTCTTTTTTTATGCACCCCATACCCATCTTGTGGGCGGTAGTGGAAAGGGTTACAGAGGCACATAATGGGCTCAGGGACTGAACCCCACAATTCATTTAGCTAAGCAAGTTACAATCTTGATAAGCTAGTTACAAAATTCAATATAAGTCGTCACATCAACAATAGGTTCGAGATCGACCTCAAGTACAGTTTCTAAATTAAGCAACTGACATATGTGGAGAGCTAGTGTCAAAATTTATATGGTTGTCCTGCACACCGCCCCCCATCCAGTGGGCAGCGGTGGATAGGCTACAATCACTCAGTTACTACCTACAGTTAGCGAACTGGGGATATTTGGCTAAAATTTCAGTCGCTAAACAAAATATTGGGCTCATGTTATTACAAAATTCGCTACTTTTTGACTGTCAGCTCGCTACTTTTAGCAATTAGGATGTGGCAACACTGTGGCACCCATCATCAGTAGCGACGTGGAACTTGTGCCGTGAAGGTCGCGGCTCCTTGCAGGACGGACCAGCACTCTTCCTTATCCACCCTTAACACCTAGACACAAGTATGTGACTAGCGAGTCTGCCTACATTTCGTCAATGAGCTTTGGAGAATTATTAACTGGATAAGTGGGCTGTGGCCAAGGCTAGAGTGTTCTAGTTGGGACCAGCTGGGCCATCAGTGTGCCTATCAGGCCTATCTTGGGTAAATTATAACCTAGTAGGCTCAGCAAGGCTGTTAGGCGGGGCACTGTGAGCCCCTCATGGCCCCGTTGGCACTGGTAGGTAAGCAGCTGTACTAGATCCCTGGGACCAAGCCCATGGGACCTGTCTTCCCCAGGGCCAGTTTCTTCAGGGCCATTTGGGTCTAAAGGGTGCCACTAGCCTACCAAATTAAATAATAAATGATGCCACTTTAGTACTAGAACCCCGCTTTGGTTGTTCCAGTATATATTGTATATATATATAGCTGTGTTTCAAGCGTGGGTTGGACATGTATATGAGTGGGATTGGGTGGTTATGAATAGGAGCTGCCTCGTATGGGCCAATAGGCCTTCTGCAGTTACATTTGTTCTTATGTTCAATCTACATAATGTGTTGTATCCAAAAAAATGCATTTTCAGGCTGTATGTGGTATGCTGCTTACTATGTCACCAATGGTGTAAATGCAGTTGTTTCCTGAGCCGCCTTGGCAAAGCTTGAGAATTGTGTGATTTAAGAATTATGGTGATAAATAATTTAACTATACAAGACCATTTCTCTGAAGTTTGAGTTATTTTGGTACAGGTCCAGAATTTGTTCATTTTTTGAGGGGGGGGGGTGTTTTTCTATCATCGTTTATGTATGTCTTTAGATAGCTGTTCTTGAAAGGAACATTAGGACATGCTCCTTACCTACCTTGAGGTTACCTTGAGGTGCTTCCGAGGCTTAGCGTCCCCGTGGCCCGGTCGTCGACTAGGCCTCCTGGTTGCCGGACTGATCAACCAGGCTGTTGGACGCGGCTGCTCGCAGCCTGGTCGTGCTCGGTGTGGCTTGTGGTGAATGACCCGTACTGCCGCTGTGTGAATTGTGGTGGGTGAGCATTCTTCCTGATTAAGATGGTCACTGCATCACTACATTCTCGAGGATTAGAGGCAGTTAGAGGAGAGGGTTGTATGTTCCCTCTCATTCCAGCCTTAAATTAATCTCTGTGAACCACCAGGGTACCCTATGGGACAAACTGCTTGACCTTCACAGCTGTGTGGAGGCTTGCAAGAAATTTAATATTTGTCGCAGTAAAATGTAAGAAGTTAATTTTGAATGCAAAACTGGTTTTAGTGAAACCATGGACATTAAAGCGGGAAATGTTCCACTATTTCCCTTTTGATGTCACCACCGCTGGCAGTCTAGAGAGTCCAGAAGACTCGGGCTGTGGAGATGGGTTGTTAGCCTGGTCTGCCCAGTCCGCAGCAGTGTATCGCTGGAATACGGTGATCCCGATTTCTCGCTGATGGGTTTGGTGTGGCAGTAGCACCAATTAATGCCAGGTGAATAGGCTGTAGAAGAGGTATTAGCTCTGTGCTCCAAAGGTCCATTAAGGCCAGACGTAGAACCTGGGATGTCTTAAGAGGGTTCCGTTGGGAACGCTTAAAATGAACCCGAGGCTTGAGGCCAAGAATTCATCTGCATTCATGATGTTATTCCAAATACTGGATGTCACAAGTGGGAGGTTAATGTATCACGCTCTCAAGAGACTGGCTGACCTCTCACTCGAGTTCACCAGCCAGTAGCACCATTCAGTACTTTTGGAACCTAGGCCCACTTTAAATAGGTGGGCCTAAATTTGAATTCTCGCATTTTAAAATTGGATCGAGCATTGTTTTACCAAATTAGACCTTTATTGCTCCATACCTCTTTGACATTGTTCTAGACTTCATTAGATAACAAATGTTGAAGTTCTTTATCTTGTTTTCATGTGACTGTACAAAATATTTAATGACAACGTATGTTTCAAGAAACTAGATAAATAGGTCAATTTTTTTTCAGCAAGTGGATAAAGCAAAACTACTAGGAATTCAGTTGAATGTCATCTGGAGCCATGTAAGTAAATCACAGGTTGTCATGGCTACAATGAAAATATTAAATTTTATAATTTTATTAAAAATAAATTATAATTTTTTATTACAAAAATATATTTTAATTTTAAAAATTAAAATTGTATTAATTTTTATTAAAAATAATTATTAAATAAAATATTTTATTCTTTAATTTTAACTAAAATTTTATTAAAAATAAAGTAAAGTTTACGCAGAATTCAGTGCTTTAAATTAAAAAATAATTAAATGCCTATACCGTACTGTACTGTACAGTAATTCCATGTATGGTGAGGTTTATACACGGGTCATTAGGGAATGCTGGGAGCGAGCAATGAAGATCATTAACAGTGACACTAACAACCTGAGTGAAGACTTGTTCTCTTGACAAGACAGAGCTACACAAAACATAACCAACATAAAATAAAGTATATTTTGTATGAGAATTGTGCACAAGACATACTTCAATTAAAACACATAGGAAGCAGAATTAGCAACATCGTTACCACAGCAGGGATGCGCACTACGTCCTGTAAAAGTTAACAGTACACATAGGTAAAATATCCTGAAACATGGCGGTGAGGTTTTGCAAACAATTGTGCCCATTGTCAAGAACATATGTAATGCTTGTTGCACACTGGAACCAGGAACACTAATGAATGCCAGGAAAAGAAACATTGTAAGACTGTGTGTTGTTTGCTGCCATTAAACAGTACCATTAAAAACAATGAAGAAAAATTCGGCATTTAACATTTGTCAAATATACTGTATCTATTGTACTAGTACAGTATAGTCATATTAATTATCCAGGCCAGTGGGATTCAATGGGGCTTGGTATACTCATTAGGCATGGATAATATTTTTAGGCCTAGAATTGTACTGTGTATTAATAAACTGGTTAAAACACTTGTATGATAGGCAAGGTAAGGTTATTATCAGGATAAAATGCCAAGCCAGTATGATTTTTCACTGGCGTCTGTTTCCTCCATTTTGTTTTAGTTGCTGTTTATTCTCTTGGATGTACGTGGAGAGCAGATTATGTCCTATTCGATCATCAATTTCTGCTCAGCATTGGCAGGCTTTTCTAGCTAGCTTTTGTGGTAGATGTGACTACTGGACAGTATTTCCCATTTTGTTATGCTGGCTGGTGCATCAAGGTCTTCTTTCCTCCTCCCCAAAGTCTAATTACCGACCCTCTCCAGGATGCAACCCCACAGCTTTGGGGTTGCATATTTATTGCTAGGCGAACAGAGGCAGAAGAAAAAGATTTTTCTTTTGGTCGTGCCGCAGAACCAAACGCAAGATCCCCAAGTGTCGAGAACGAAGCCTTCTGCAGCCAGCTCTTGCTCCTTCAGCTTTATATTATGGCCTTTCATGTCTCCTTTGGAGGATGCTTAAAGGCAATTATTTTTGTTTGCATTTGCTTCTGAAGATCATGTGGGTGAATTACATGCCATGTCATAAACAAGACCTATCATTCAACTTCAGACTCCTTAATTTTTGGGATAAAAATTAGTCTCTTGGTTACTGATGCTTTGTTTGTCCTTTGTTGTCTATCCTCCGTTTTCTTGTTTCAAGGTTCATTTCTCCTAATTCATTTTTATGAATTAGGAGATCAGGAGAATTAGGATGGAGGGTTGGCCATCTTTGACGACTTAGTTATCCTCATACAAGTGCTACAGTATATGCATAAAGTTCAGAAAAAGCTGCTCTAGAAATGTCTAACAATAATATACAAACTGAAAGTCTTTGCTACACACTATATTTTCAAAATATGGCACTCCCACCGTGCAAGTGTGACACTTCGGCAGGTGACTAAATGCATGTGCTGTTTCCCCAGTTCCTCTGCTTATCCTAGGTGTAACATGTTCAGAGAAATATTTGGGATGCAGAAATTTTTTTAATTGTGTTTTATATATAACTTGTGCAATTAATTCAACAGGATGTATGGGTATCAACAACAAGCTGTGGCAGCTGCTGGTCAGCAGTATCAGCAGCCAAACCAAGATAATTATCAACAACATGGATATCAGCCACAGGCACAGCAAGCATATCAGCAACAGCCACAGCAAGCATATCAGCAACAACCACAGCAAGCTTATCAACAACAGCCACAGCAAGCCTATCAGCAACAGGCACAGCAACAACCACAGCAACAGGCACAGCAACAGGCACAACCAGCTTATCAGCAACAAGGTTACCAGTCAGAGCCCCAACATGGCTATCAACCACAACCTCAGCAAGGATATCAGCCTCAGCAGCAACAATATCAGCCGGAACAATATGGAGGGCAGCAACCACAACAGCAGCAGCAGCAGCAACAGCAGCAAGCATCATTCCAAGAATTTATTGAAACCCAGGAAAACAAAGAGGTAAATTGTCAATACTGTACTTCCTCATTCATTCTGTTCAAAATGACTATTCCTGTTTGAACGTCTTGAGAAAATAGAGGCAATGTGATGTGATCGCACTCTTGTCCCTGGACTTCTCAAGCACCCACACAGTACCCACTGAACCATGATGTATTTAAAAGTATCAAAACCAGAGTTCTACTAGACTTGCTTAGAGTTTGGAAGGCACCATTCAGTGTTTGAGGTACTTAAAAGCTCTTCATAGTTCAAAGGGTAATGTGTGCATGTCGGAGTAGTCCAGGAATGAGTTTGGCCTCATCACATTGTGTCGATACTTTCTCAGGTACATCATGTTACCGAGATTTCATTGTGCATCTGTATGTGTTTACCTGTCTGTACTGTGCAATATAGGACTATTTTAACTTAGTGTAGTGTTATGAATGAATTGCTGTTGCACGTTACATACATTATATCTTGTTACATCCACACCTAAACTCTCATTTAGTTTCATCTGGATGTCTCTTATACAGTACTGTATTGTAATACCCTTCTGGTCTCTGGTCTGTAGTCCTCAATCTCACTTTATTTTAGATATGAATGGATTCTAAATTCCATTTGTTTCCAATCTCAGTTTGTTGCAGCAGTCCCCAGTCTCCTCGGTCCTTATCTATCTTGTCAGTTTTGCACTTTCTGCAAACATTGACACAAGAACGAACCTCCTTGGGACCTAGTTCGCTGCCACTGTCTATTCTAGTATTTCCTCTCATAATGATTGTTAGTTGTCTGGTTCTTCATTATCTAAATAACTACCTTCCCAGGTATTGTTTTTTTCCCTCAATCTAGTACTGCATACAGTAATTGTCATTGATGGGGAACAGTATCAAAGGCTAGATTCACAGGCATATTGTCTTTTCAGCATTTCACACACAAATTTGGCATTGATTGCTTGGGAGGGTTTTATATTTAAATTTCTCCATGTAGCATTATGTAAATGAAACTTGTATAGATGCTTTTGGGTAGGTCTTCAAATTCCTGTACCTCCCTTGTCAGCAAAGATGATACATATAGCCTTCAAGTAGGAGTGCATTTTAGTTTGTATATTCTGTGCTTTATTAGATTTAATGAAACTTGAGCATAATGTGCACTAATGAAGTGTGTCCATTTGTTGATACGTTACCTATTTCACTATAGCCTGAAATAAGCCTGTCAGAAATTTTAACTATGTACTGTACTTAAAATCATAAATTACATTGTTATAATTTGCTAATTTGTTTATAGCAATTTATTAAAAAAAATATGGCACTTTCAAAAAATTTTCTTTACAGGGTGTTCGTTTTTCGTGGAACGTTTGGCCATCCAGTCGAATTGAAGCAACTCGTATGGTAGTGCCTGTGGCTTGCACATACACTCCATTGAAAAAGCGTGATGATTTGCCTCCAATCTGCTATGAACCACTCAAGTGTACGCAGATGCAGTGTGGAGCTATCTTGAACCCTCTTTGTCAGGTTAGAAAATATTTGTATTTAATTCTAGCACAATAATATTAACATCGTGTGGGTTGTTGGGTATTAATTCATTTTGTTTTGGAAAAAAAAAACATTCAATTCAAAATGTTGAACGTTTTCAATAATTTGTTTGAATCATGTTTGAATCAAACATTCAAAAGCTGTAAAGCTGAAAATTCTTTCAGCTTTACAGCTTTCTTTTTTGTTAATCTAATTTAATCTTCCTGGTGGTGCATTTTGTGTTTGTATCATACATTGTTTATAAGTGTAAGTGATGACTACTGTACTTGATTCATTTGATTGGCATACCTTCTCTTTCAGGTGGATTTCAGGTCGAAGATGTGGGTATGCTGCTTCTGCTTCCAGCGTAACCCCTTCCCCAGCAGCTATGCTTCCATTAGTGAACAAAGCCAGCCTGCAGAACTATTCCCTTCTTATTCTACCATTGAGTATACTATCATGGTTAGTTACTTTGTGCAATTTCACTCCTGAAAATATGCTACAAATACAGTACTAGTAACAAAATGTTTGTGTGTAAAGCACTGTGTATGAGGCCACATCATTTAGTATGTGTAGTTAACAGGTACTATGGAAGTGGACATATGAAATTTTGACAAATGTATACTGTATGTAGAGCAAGAATGTTGGAAAAGAATATATAGATATTAAAGTTTAAAGTAAGGAATACAAAGTGGCAATTGAGTAATATTAAGTAATTGTAGAAAAAAAATAATGGGAGAGAGTTGCTGAAATTAAATATTTAGATGATGGGGAAAATTGGCAACAACAAGGTTTTACTGCCATCTGAGAGCCAGACTACTCTATTTACTTCCACAAGTAGCCAGGGCTAATTGGTGCTAGTCCTACTGTTTATATTAATAGTAAGTTATTGGAATTTACTAAACAGATTACCATACCCATATATCTTGAACTCCATTGAGTAAACATTAATTGATTTAAGGTAATTTTATCCACGGTGCACTGAAATATAAAGGTTTTGATCATGTAAGAAATAAGGTGGTGGTAATATATATACAGTAAATAATAATTACAATGGCAATTGCCTCAAGAGTTAAAGGTTATCACATTCTGAATATCACCATTACTGTAATAGTTTTTCATGAACAGTACTGAATATTACCGGTACTATTCATGAAATAAGTGCAGCAGCATTTGAGTAGGAATTATTTCTCTTAAATAATTTAATTCTCAATAAATTTTTAACATTCCTCAGAGGCAGCAGAATATGCCCCCAATCTTCTTATTTGTTGTGGACACGTGTGTTGATGAGGAAGAACTTAATGCACTGAAGGAGTCCATCACCATGTCTCTCTCCCTGATGCCAGCCAGCGCCCTTGTTGGACTTATCACCTTCGGCCGCCATGTCCATGTAGGTTGATGTGATCATTGCACTTGAGAACTTGACATAACAGAGGAAACTGCAGAAGGCCTATTGGCCCACATAAGGCAGCTTTAATGTAGAATTCTGTACTTGTATATATACATACATATGGTGGATCATTTATCTTGTATCTGATTAAACTAAATCGTGTTGTTGGGAATAGTTCTCGTCTTTTGAGAGCAGAATTATGCTCATTATACTATTGGAACAAATCAAATGATCACCATCTTTCCATAGGATGTGCTTGGTTCCAGCTCCTAAATTTTGTGAAGAAAATTAAATTTTTGCTCTAGTGAAATTTGTTATCGGGTCCAATTGTAAATGAATTAACAAAATAAGGTGGAAGTTCCAAATTAGTTGTACCATATTTTAATTGTGTGAGAGTTGGAAAACTGTAAGAGTTGCCATTACCAGTCTCTTGGTGTTACAGGTTCATGTTCTGGCAAATGAAGTGATGAGGAAGCAGTATGTTTTCCCTGGAGGAAAAGATCAGACTGCAAAAACAGTTCAAGAGTATTTGGGTGTTGGACTTAAGACTGCAACACAGACTCAGGTAAGTTTAGGTAAAAATGTTAGTGCATAAAACTGGGAAAAAAAAACTTGCTTTTAAAGATATCAGGTGTGAGTAGCATTGTCATTAACTACATAATAAAAATAGCTACAATATAATAGGTTTCATTATTATGAATTAATTTACAAAGTTATTACTTGTCATCTAATTATTACCCATATAATTTTTTTATATAATTTTAATTTATTGAAAGGTATAATTTGATATGCTGTATTAAGATTGAAATTGGGATATTTATCTAAAGTTGAATTGACCAGCAGTTATTGATGTTATTGTTTACCTCTTTCTGTACACATCATTTTGACTAATGATGATGTTAGACATCAGTCTTATTCAATTATGGTCTCAAATACAAAAATTGGCAGAAATCCTTCAAGTCAACAGAATTGTTTAATAGTAACATGTGGGTGGGCATGATGGAAAAGTGTAAACACTTCCAAGTTTAGTAGTATATTTCTAAGGAAGGTTTACTGCTTGTCTGTCTGGATAGTATGGAGGATGAGGGGGAAAAAATCTCTCTTCAGTCAGGGTCTTCTGGTAGATATCTATCATATGATGGGTTGAAATTTAAAATATACTCTGTAAACTTCTTCCATAGTGTTTGAAAAATTTGTGGGATAACTACTTTTAGTATTGTTTGGAGTGGTTTTTCATCGAGAGCACAACTTAGAGAAGTAGTTGGTACTGTGGGAAACCCATTAAGCATAATTAAAACAATTATCCAAGTTTAAAATTAAAAATTCAGTAAATTTGGTGATAAATGGCTAAAATTTGAGTAATTTTTCATAAATACCTGTACTGATATCACGTGAACCTAGACTAAATCAGGAATGATGTGTTTTAGAGGGCTTACTTTACTGATTGTTTTTAAATACAGTATAATTTTGAATGGCCCCAGGCCAGGCTCGGGAGTAGAACAACTCCTGAAACCCTCTAAAGGTATGCTCCAGGTAATTTGCAGGAATTTTTTGTTAAGGTTATTCTTTATTCGAGCCACACATAAACGTTGTACTGCATTTTGCTCGGTTTCAAAAGATGTTATCTTGAGGTTATCTTGAGATGATTTCGGGGCTTTTTAGTGTCCCCGCGGCCCGGTCCTCGACCAGGCCTCCACCCCCAGGAAGCAGCCCGTGACAGCTGACTAACTCCCAGGTACCTATTTACTGCTAGGTAACAGGGGCATTCAGGGTGAAAGAAACTTTGCCCATTTGTTTCTGCCTCGTGCGGGAATCGAACCCGCGCCACAGAATTACGAGTCCTGCGCGCTATCCACCAGGCTACGAGGCCCCCCGTAGCCTGGTACTACAGCTACAGTACTCCTGTTGGGTACTGTAGCTGTAGTACCTAGGAATGCTAAGTTATTCAGTTTTGAATGTAACCAATTCACTTTTCCTGTGCTTCTTTGTTCAGTTTTCCATCTGGTGATTTGTGTTGTATGCAGACAGTAAGTCACAATAACATGACTGAATGTTATTCATCTCTCTCTTCACCCATAGGCCATCAGTTTTCTTTTTGTTAACTCTTATGGTATACTTCTTACCATCTTGACTTTTCACCTTGTATATTGACTGTGTAAAACACACTACACGATGTGATAATGTTCAGGATAGACTGAAATGTCATCACTTTATCAATTTTTAGAGGTGTAGGTTGGGTGTCTAATTGTTACATGTTTAATAAAGTATTGATGTCAATTTATTGTAATTCTGTGGATGTTGTAGATGCCAGGCCAAGCTGCACCTGCACCACAGCCAGGTCAAATGAATAACAGGTTCCTACAACCAGTTCAAGAATGTGAGATAATGTTACAAGATATTCTGGCTGATCTACGTCGTGATCCCTGGCCAGTCATGACAGGCAAACGTCCTCTGCGAGCCTCGGGAGCGGCATTGTCAATTGCTATTGGATTACTGGAGGTAAGGTTTAAAATTGTAGATATTAGAGTACTGTGTGCACTTCTTGAATTTATACAATGCATCAAAATTTGATTTCTCAACAATATCTCTGATTGGCTCCTTATCTGGCAGGAACATTAGAATTTCCAAAACTAGAAATGGTGATAGAGTAACTTAATGCCACATTATCATGATTATCTTGTACTGTGTGTGACTTTCAACAAAGTAGGTGTGAGGACCATTTTATTTTATGTCTGTAGTGGAGTAAATTCCTCTGACTCCTGTTTGCATGCTCGGAATTTTCCTCGTGTCAAGTCTTACCCTACTAGTTATACGGTAACGATATTAATGTATTACTTTACTAGTGTTTTAAAATTTTATTCCTCAGGCATGTTACCCAAATACCGGTGCCCGAATTTTAACATTCCTTGGTGGTGCCTGTTCCTATGGCCCTGGAATGGTTGTGGACGACGACCTGCGTAAGCCTATTAGATCTCATCATGATATTGAAAAGGTATTTCAGTTTTGTTCATTCTTCTATCTTTTACAAGATAAAATTTAATAATGAGAATTGCAGTATTTGCATCTTGTGCCATGCCTTGTTTATTGAGGAGAGGTTGAATTATGTGCTAGTAGTCATCTTTCCACCTGTAACATTTACTGGTGTTAAATAATTTGTTGCATATTGATTTCTCTAGCTGCACAAAGTGTTGATATTCAAAATTTACATAATTTCTAAATACACTGGAGTGCAGTAGAACACGAGCTTCGTGTTTACCCACCTGGCTTTTACACTGTTATAAAACTACCAATATAGTGAGGAAACAATTATAAAACATTTATAGGAAGCTAATAGTGCTTTTTGATATAACTTTTTAAAATAAATTTAATATTGGCATTGTTTGACAAGTTACTCGTCTATTAGGCCCATTTGCATGTTCCAACACCTAATTATTTAATAAATGACATTTTAGTCTGTCCTGGTCCCTTGTAAAGTGTAAATAAGGGTCCTAAACTGACTGAAAGGTCATTTTCATGCGTGGATTGGGTTATTTTTTCAGCCAGATTTTTAACACAATCTTTGCACAATCTTTGCACACAATTGTTTCTTGTGATTGCGATGGGTTGTTACAAAACTAGCTGAACTTGAAGGTTTTGGCTAATATTGCAGTTTAGGGTCTTGAGGATTTATGCAATAGTTATACAAATAATTCAATAATTTAATTAATTAATAATTTTGACCAAGTATTCAGTATGTTGTCTGCAACTGGAATTAGTCCTATAGTACTGGTTAATTTTTGTTGAGCAATTACTAGCATAAAGTGGTTTGGATGTAGTATGGGTGTAAATGAATGTAAAATTGCTTTTGTTATAGATTTCTCAAATGACGAACATTAACAACTATTCAATAATATCTCTGATTTACAGGATAGCTGTCAATATATGAAGAAAGCCATTAAGTTCTATGAAACACTTGCCAAGAGAGTATCTGATAATGGTCACGTCGTGGATTTGTATGCCTGTGCCCTGGACCAAGTGGGATTGCATGAAATGAAGTACTGTACTAACTACACAGGGTAAGTCACATAGATTCTCTTAAAAAAAGTGTTTTACAGATTTAAATGCATAAAATTTGGAAATATTTCCATACCCTCTATGGCTAATCTGCATGGTATGCAAATGCCTCTTGTTTTGGCTTGAAACTAAAATGATTATTATATTACATGATTATATAAGAGTTGTATTCAAAAATATGTTGAGGCTTATAAAACTATTTTTGTATTTTTACATTAATATCATATAATGTTTTAAACATAGATCTCGGTAAACAATTTTTCCTTTCCAGTGGCCACATGGTTCTTGGAGATTCATTCAACTCATCACTGTTCAGGACAACATTCCAGCGTGTGTTTGCCCGTGATGAAAAGGGCAATTTGGAAATGGCTTTCAATGCTACACTAGAAGTCAAAACTTCCCGAGAACTCAAGAGTTAGTATATTTTGTTGGTATTCTGTAAACACGTTATTGAATATTTAAAGTCTCTAAAGTAAAGCGGACGTGTTATGGAGGACACTAAACAGAAGAACACTATTAAATGTATGCTACTTCAGGAAAATTTAACTACAAAGTGTTATATTCTGTTTTTATAAACATTGGATCATGTTGGACTTGTTCGTTTTTTACAGTATTGTAACTTCTTATTGGAGGTACATGTTGAATTTAAGGATTTATGCGCTGTTGTTATATTTAGATGGGATAAGCTGCATGGTTGTATGGCATGATATAAACGTCATCTTTCACAGTTGCTGGAGCCTTGGGTGCGTGTGTGTCAGCCAATGAGAAAGGCCCAAATGTTGCCGAAATGGAGATTGGAATTGGTAATACGACCAAATGGAAGCTTTGTGGCTTGAACCCTAATACTACAGTATCTATATTTTTTGAAATTGCCAATCAGCAAGGGTCAGATATTCCTGGTGGGAGAGGCCATGTACAGTTCATCACCAGATATCAACACCCATCTGGCCAAACAAGATGCAGAGTTACCACCGTTGCTAGAAAGTAAGTACTTTATTTTTTTTCGCGTATTTTGTGCAACTATTTGGAGGTGGCAGAACCAGTTCACCTTGGTTTCCCAACATATCAGTACCATAAGGGAAGTATAATAGGTCATTTGTTCAGTGATCACCATTTGTTTGGATGTACCTACCAGTGTCAATTAGTACTGTTTTCTCCTTCATTTCAACATTGCTCTAAGTAATGACTGTCATTTCCTTCACCACCACATAAAGCTTGTTACCATTTGCCAGTCAGTGTGTATTAGCAGGTTCTGTAAAATTCTGCTAGGTCTAGCAGGTTCTGTAAAATTTTACTAGGTCTAGCTAGTCAACTGGTAAAGTACATTAGGAATGTTCAAGAAACAGCTTATTGGGAACCATTTAAAAAGAGACATTTTATTTCTTCCTAAATTTTTGTAATGGTTTCACTAAAAAGTCAGCATATTTTTCTTAATATACTGGGTATATGTAAATAAAAACAGAAAATTTAACTTGCTTTCTAGCACTACTATATTCGGATAAAAGTATATTATAGAAACAGAAGTGTAGCAGCCAAAGGGTTAAATCAGTAGTATTAAAGACTGTGAGTATCAAGCAGCTTGTAAAGTTCAAAGAACAGGCATTTAATAAATTTATATACTCTCCAATGTGTATGAGAGGGAGATGCAAGACTCGAGAGGCAGACTAGAATGATGACCCAAATTCTCAGTTTTGGCAGACAAGGCAGCTAGTGAAGTAAAATATATAATGCTGTAATGAGAAGTTTTGGGCTGGACTACACAAAGTAACTTTTCAGGGCAGTTCACTAATGAAATATACACATGTATACTGTACTGGCAGAAAAGAGGAAAATGAAGAGGAACGGGGAAGAAATAAGAATTTAAAAGGCAAAGGGTAGGGAATCCACTAATGTAATGATCAAATTAAATAAAAAGCAGCAGCAGAATCACCACTGCAGCAAAATATTTACCCAGCTAAATGCAGCATCCTCCCAAAACTCCTGCTTTTCTATTTGTCATTTCAAGTTAAGCACTAATATTCTCCCTAACTTAGAGAATATAACTTACATCACTAAGGTGTTCATCCTCTGCATATTGCTCCAGTATTATGTGAATATAGTAGATGGATAGTTGAAATATAATGCAAAGAATCGAGGGGTTGAAGTGCATTGCATATTCGAAAAGTGAAGTTTTTAGGAGGTGTGAATAATGAGATCTAACGAGGGTTGTCCATTGGAAGTCCTTTGTTATTTGATATTATAGAACAGCATTTCTCTAGTTGGGCAGACCCTCAAAGTGGCCAGCACTTCATAGCCCTTGGCTTTGACCAAGAAGCAGCTGCAGTACTAATGGCTCGTTTAGCTGTTCATCGCTCGGAAACTGATCAAGATGGAACTGATGTACTTCGCTGGGTGGATAGAATGTTGATTCGCTTGGTAAGTTATCCAATGAAGTTGGAAAGGAAGGTTTTTCTCATTGCACTGTAATGTAATTTTATGTACACAATTTTGTGTATCTTTAAATTTCAGTAAGTCTTTGTGCACCAGAAAGTTTATATATTAATGAACTACTGTGATAAAGTGTTTCAGGTTTTTTCAATGACTTGATGTTCAGTACTATAAATCTTTTCATTTAATTGTTCTAGCCAGATAATATTTCAAGAATTTTTGAAGTATAAAAATAAATGTTTCATGATTATGAAGAGTTAAATTCACATTCATAATTATATTTTCAAACATTAATGATGCTCTTGTGATTTTCAGTGTCAGAAGTTTGGCGAGTTTACTCCTAATGATCCCAATAGCTACAGATTCCAGGAGAACTTCAGTCTATATCCTCAATTTATGTTCCATCTTAGACGGTCACAGTTCTTACAGGTCTTTAATAACTCTCCAGATGAAACTTCATTTTACAGGTAATTATTTGCAGTGTGTACTTTGTGTACACACAGTGTGTATATTTGTGTGTGTTTATTTTTTCAGCAGATAATGCCAGACTCAGCCTTTGATACTATAATTGCACCATGTAATTTTCTTTAGTACACGCTGGTGGATATTGACGAGTGTAGAGTAGAATACATTTAATTGCTTTAAACTAAAATGTGGATCATAAAAGAAGATTTGTTCCTATCTTGAGATCTTGAGATGTTATCTTGAGGTGATTTCGGGGCTTTAGTGTCCCCGCGGCCCGGTCCTCGACCAGGCCTCCACCCCCAGGAAGCAGCCCGTGACAGCTGGCTAACACCCAGGTACCTATTTTACTGCTAGGTAATAGGGGCATAGGGTGAAAGAAACTCTGCCCATTGTTTCTCGCCGGCGCCTGGGATCGAACCCAGGACCACAGGATCACAAGTCCAGCATGCTGTCCGCTCGGCCGACCGGCTCCCTAGTGTATATGTAACTTCTGTTTACTTTTTATACAGTAATACGCACTATGTAATTAATTGCCAGACTAATATTTTCATTATTCATTGTCATTTAAGGGTAAAAATGCTAATAATTGTTAGTCAGGTGTTTAGAAGCAGTTGGGGAAGGTGGTGAGCAGCCAATGAAGGTATGTAATCTGCACGTGTACCAAAGAAAATTACAGTTAAATTACAGTATCACAGGCTTAATCTGGCATTATTTGCTGAAAAAAATCGAAGTAGAAGCTCACATGGTGTTTTCTGCTTAAAATCAAAACAATGGATGTATTCAGTATTATTTATTGCTAGTTCTAAATAACTTAAAAAGTCAGCGTAGTCCACAAGTTGGATACACAGAGGTCCTAGATTTAATGCATAAAATTACATCTCGGATCCTTGGGTTCCAACCTTTGCGGAATAATGAGTTTTATTTGTATACTGTTGTCCTTTACTCTTTCATATGTGAACCTCAGAAAGACATTGTTTGGATTTATCATGTAATATGCATGGATGCATCTTTCCATTCAATAACTGTTCAGTCCTTTTGTTTTTACCTTGTGATTTTTACTGTGTCTTTACCCTTTTGGCTTTGGAGTTCATTTATAAATTAATAAAATATAAAATTTACAAAACTGAGAGAATACTGTACATATTAGCAAAGGTCAAAATATCCTACACATTAGGAAATCAGTGATAAGAATTTATGATTTAAATTGACAGTATTTTTACATGGTGGAGCAATGGGGGTTAAATTTTGAAATTAATCTGTTTACAGATGTATGTTAAATCGTGAAAGTGTGACCGAGTGCCTCACTATGATCCAGCCAGTTTTGTATAGTTATTCATTCAACGGGATTGAAGCAGTCATGTTGGATACGTCGTCCATACAGCCCGACCGCATCTTGTTACTGGACACCTTTTTCCACGTTCTCATATTTTTGGGAGAGGTGAGTAACTAGAAATGCTGCTGCTTTAAATTTTTATGAAAGAAAATGTACTTTGTGGTTTTTAATTGTGTGTATACTGCACATTATTTTTATGCATACATGTATATATATTATCAGCATTTCAATTGTTCTTGAGCATAAATGCAAACTGAGCTTTAAATTGTTCTGCACGTATTACCAGACAATGGCAGCATGGAAGCGGGAAGGTTATCAAGACCAAGAAGAATATGCAACTTTCAAGGATCTACTACAGTCCCCAATTGATGATGCTCAAGATATTCTAGCTACCAGATTCCCTATTCCCAGATATGTAGAGACAGAACAAGGTGGCTCACAGGTAAGTTATAAAATATTTAAGTTGGTTTGGAATTAGCATCAAGCAGTTAATTGTGTAATATGTGCTGTAGATTTAACATTTTTTTTGTCAAATGTTTGTATTAGTCTAATGTGTTAATGTTATTTTCTGATATCAATTACGTGCATGTACAGTATGTGCATCCACTTGTTTATATATGCCACATGTGCTTGTCCACATGAAAGTTTGCACATAAATGTCATAGTTTACAGTGGAACTAAGGTAATTTTACAGTATGGCATGGACAGGAAATGTTGTGATTGAAAAGATGTACTTCTAATCCCACACATCACAAGTATACAAGGGGAAAGTGGTAAAATGAAGGCCCCAGTTAAGGAGACAGTAATGTAGCTAGAAGTCTGCACTTTGGCAATACATGTGATGGAGTGGATGAGGTTGGATAATGTTACAGGTGTTGGGAGTGTTCAAGCCAGTCACAAGAATAGGGAGCATACTACAATATGGTTATGCAGAACAGAAAAGATGAGCTGTGTAATAAAAGTGAGATTTTGAGGGCAGGAGTGAGAGAATTAATATGGACAGGTATGGTAAAGGAGTGAAACATGTGTTGTGTGAGATCACAAGAAGTAGCGGTTATCTGGAGTGGAAGCTGCTTGTAATGAATGTGTGTGGCAGTTTTGGTTGAGCCTGGTCCCAGCCCGGGCTCGGGGAGTAGAAGAACTCCCGAACCCTCTCCAGAATTCATTAGAGTACTCCAGAGTCTGGAACAGTGCAAATACTGGTGTGATGGTTGCTAATGGTGATGGTGGTTGTATGAAGCCCTGTTGACAAGTTGGGAAGGCTCTGTAGGAGTGGCTAGAGGATTAACTCCTTTCATTTTTGTAATCTTTTGTTTCCCATGATGCCTTAACTTGTGTACCTTCCTGCCACATGGAAAAGAAATAAAAGTTAGAAGTAATTTTAATGATTAATGTAAGGGGAAAGTAAATGAAATTGAGTAACATTTTGTATTAATCTTAGATCTGTTTATTCCATTTGCTGAATTTAATATATATATATAATATCCCCAAAACTTGGCTAGTAATTTGTCATGCATTCTGTACTTTGTCTATATATTAGTCATATATTATATTTATACTAATTGCATGTGGTTTGCCGTTTTCAAGTGCTCGAGCAACTAGACAGATTTTTTGTTAGTTCTGTGTATCAATATTATTACATAAACAGAATTTCATTTTCATATTTCTTTTAAAAAAGATTTGTTACTAATGTAAAGCATTTCTTCATTTAGGCACGATTTCTGCTGTCGAAAGTGAATCCATCACAAACTCACAACAATGCAATTTATGGCGGGGTAAGTAATTTCTGGCACTGAAGCTAAAGGCCTTGTTTTTGGATTTAATAAATGTCCTAGTTTTAGTGTATGAAATTAAAAAAAATTATTTTAATAAGTATTAGTATGTTTGATATTTGGCAGTAATCACTTGCTAGAATATACATAACTATTTGTAATTAATGTTTTGTGGAGTTTCTAATATATTATTTTAACTTTATTATTTGGTTGGGTATATAAGTACAGTACAGTACTTCCCTTTTATGAAATATTAATTTTAAAATCCCAATTTTTGGCATTTCAGTCAACCATCCCAGACCCCAATTCTACGGTATTTATTTATTTATTAGTTTGGTCACATTTTGGTGAAGGTTTGAACACTACCTTGATATTCAGTCAGCACTTTGTGTATATCTAACTCTTCTTCGCTAATGGTGGTGGGTGGTTATCAGTAATATTAATGGTTTGTAAGTTTATTAAAACTTAGTTTTAGCACTAGTAGACTAGTGTTTTATTATGGATAACTACTAGTTTGTGTTCAGTTTGAAATTACCTTCCATCAGCAAATGCTGGTTTTGTAGTTTTGATCCATTTTCTAGATTTAATATGGTTACTGAACTTGGTCTCTTGTTTGGATATTTCGTTTTAAAGATTTTTCATTTCATGGGAGGGGAGAGGAAAGGTTTACTTGTTTTCAATTATAAAACTGACACTATTATGTACTGTGACATTTTTCTATGACCAGAGGCAGGCAGGAAGCCTGAGTAGATATAGGGTGACAAACTACACCCTGTCCCAGCAGGTGATATAGAAAAAAGGGTCAGAGTTAGTACAAGTTTGCATTGTCCAGCTTCAAATGACTCCTGATAAGAGGCGGCTTGCCTCCTGCAGTGGCAGCTATGGTTGACATTGGGCAAATTAACGCTTCCTTTATTTCCAACTTTGCTTTCTTTCAACAAGTTATATAGTTTTGCTGCTTTATTTTCTTGGTGGTTTTACTTGGTCTTGAGGATCTGATTCCCATGCCTCTACAAACACAATTTCTGGTCTTGGTGTTTGGTAGGCCTATGCATGTCTAGAGGCCTCTGCCTGTCTGTGGTACCAAAGTCGGTGCACTGGGGGAGCTACTGAGGCCATTTAGAATAGGGTGTTGCATTACATTAAACGTTTGATATAATGTTTTAGACACTATTGTATTGTAAAACAATTTTGATGATTTCTTGTGGTATATAAAATGAATTTATCAATTTTGTCTCAATTTCTTTTAGAAAACCAAAAACTTTCAAAGTAAAATTCAAAATGCTAAAAAATAAGCGTTAGTGGTTATTATTGCACAGTATAAGTAATATGACTTCAGAATACTTGAGGCATAATGTTGCTTTATTAAGACTATATTTTATATTGTGAATTACCGGTACTAATTTTTTTAATGGTCCTACTGGAAAGAGCATGTAATTTTCTTGCTGTAGAAAAGAAACAAATCCTAAAGTTTCTACTGTAAATATACAGTACAGAACCATCTAAGGTACAGGCTATAGGGCTGAAGCAGTAGTGCCACAGTGAATACGTAAAGGACATTTAGGAGTCGGTTGTAACACACTAAAAGACCGAGAAACCATCGGTTCCGAAACCTAGTTATTCGGCACTTCATAGATACAGGCTTAGTGACACTTTGATAATTATTTACCTTGTAGATTTTTCTCATTGTGAAAATCAGAACAAATACTATTGCTTTCCTGATGTTCCTCAGAAATTGTTACTCTTTGATTCTACTTGTTGATTCTGAGGGTCAAGGTCTCTGCTGCCCGGTCTTTGACCGTGCCTCCTACAGTATCGTATACATTTTATACAGAAAAGGTGATCGTGCCTTTTCTACATGTACTATTATAGACCTTAACATCTGAAGCAGTCTTACTCCCACTTAATTGCAAATCTTCATCTTACATGGTATATAAATGTTCTGCTGTGGTCTAAATGTTTATTATTAGCGTAATAAGCTTTTTATAGTTATTCACACTTAAGACAACTTAGCAACTAAGAAACCGTAGAAGAATGGCAATGTGAATTAGAGCACAGCTCTGAGACAAGAGCCTCTTTTATTGAAATAGAAATCTTGAATCATTTCTAGCATCACAAGTTTAAATATTTTTGTTTTGGTAGTTTTTATTGACATGGTGAAATATTAATTTTTTTTGTGTGGAATAATGAACACGAGATGTTGAATCTTTTTGACATGAAAGTAGTATCCAGTGGGGAATGATTGGCCATTACCCAATTTATTTTTTGAACAGAATGTCTGAAGATGAATTTACCGTGCTGTATATTGAGTGACGTGGCATTATAATTTTACGACCGAATTAAAATCTGTGCACTAATTTGTCTACATCAATTTTGTCAATGATGATTTAAGCCTCCTAGATGTTAGCACCAAGTGTTTACTAATGTTTTCTACATCTTGCAGGATGGTGGAGCTCCAGTTCTTACAGATGATGTCAGCTTGCAAGTTTTCATGGAACATCTTAAGAAACTTGCAGTTACATCCAATGCTTGAAATAAAATTTCCTAAAGTTTATTTTTTATATCTAGAACAAATTAATTAATCATGTTCTTTGTCGAAGGTTAGCTCAGAAAATGTTTTGAGTAACTTTCTATGAGTTTTAATATATTATCTGGTATTTGGTAAATAGAGCTAATGAGCCGGTGAAATGATATTGTATAAAAGTTTAATAAATTTCCTTGTTCAAGAAATGTTTTTATTAATCAGAAACATTAAAAGTAAAGACCAAGGTGGTTCTATTGTGGTTCCAATTTAATGTTTTCAAATGTGTGCATGTACATATTATCATACCAAGATTTATGACTTAAAACAATTGGTTATATTTTTATATAAAGTAGGGTAATCATTTTCTGAAGTTGTAGGTAAATCTGCTGATTTTAGGTAAATGTTCCACACTTTAGTATTTTCTTGTATTTATTTAATTGGTGATTATTAAAATTTATTTCCAGTTAGATGACTTTTTATTCAAAGGTGACAAATTCCCAGAGTTGGATCTCTTAACAGAAAAAATGACAATGTTAAAGATAATGGAATAGTGTCAAAAGTTCTAATATTTAGAGCACAATAAAAAGTATTGCAATAGCCACCCCTATATGGGTGCTGTCTTCTCATAATATAACCCATTCTCCTGTTAAATTTTTTTCTTTTTTTTGTGCAGAGTTTTTGTAACTGCACCATAGTACAAAGATTGATATACTAAGCAATTAGATGGTAGAATTATGTACTGTTCGCTTTAGTCCAAAAAAAATTTAAGCTAAAACTTAAATATTCCTAGGCCTAGTATAGTGCATAAGAATACTGTACTATATTAGGCATCAGATAGTGTATTAGACCTAGGAAGGTAAGGTTAGGCTTAACAAAATATAATCGTTCGCCTTGTGCGTTTTTGTTCTCGTATTGGCTTTCTTGGTGATATTTAGCACCCTCTGATTATTTCGCACTTTGATGGTGCTACATAGCCTTCCCGGTTTGGTGCCTTCTTTTGATAATTGCCTTACCTTAACAAAATATAAATTCTTTTACAGTTTGTCCAAATTCAATAGAATGGATTTCATTCTAATTGACTTGTACTTCAGTATGCTATGTACTATGGTCCTTATTACTGTGAATGTTACCAAAACAGGAGGATGGGCTGTGTAATAAGACTTTCATATGTTATGGTTGGATTGCTTTGGCCCCATCTCTTTGGACAACTAGTGGGGAAAAGGCATCCACCAAATTCAGGATCCCATATGAGTCATCAGACCTACCACTGGAGGGACCACAAAGGATGGTTTTGGGGATGAAAGGAAATCTTTGTGCTGGCTCTCTTTAGCCCTCAATTGCTACCTTGTCGGTGGTAATTAATATAAATTCACTTATCCAGACTATATGGGAAGGACCCTCTCACTGGATAAGCAGCACTTACTGGGAAGTCTAGAAATGACTATATTTGCAATTTTTTGTCCCCCAGCCAGCATAATTAAAATTTCCACTATAAATAAAATATAACAAACTTTAGCTTTGTTGTTGTTTGTGGTCTTGTTTGATACTGTAAATCTTGAAAATTTGTGTAACCTAATCTCTTGGTACCCAAATTTGTCTGGATATGGCAGTTTTGCCAGAAAATTATCCGGATGCAATTCTGGCTGGATTACTCAAATATTTGGTTCAGTGGGCTTTCGATAACTAGGCTCATACGTACTCCATGATTCTGTGGTCCATCTTGGATACTTTTAAAATGCTGAACAAACTTGAACACCTTCCATGGAGTCTAGTGTAGCTTACACATTGGGGAACAGCTTAAAGATCAGAAAATTGATGCATTTCACGCATTTGGAATATACCCATGTAATTGCCTACCCACTAAAGCCATAAAGACTACAAGAGTTAAAAATTTTGCTGGAATAACTCTTCAGGATTGATTGGGGGCTTTTTTTCATGCTTTCACAAGTGCTTTATAAAACATAACACCGTTAGTCAAGTTGCAACTCTCACCAGACCTCCATAGAGCAGACAACGAATCCCAGTTGTCAACCTTTCCACTTTTACCCTTCGAGCTTTCCAACCCAGGCCTCGTACAAGCTCTCGGTCTCCAGCCACCGCAAGCACTTGTGTTCTTTATCAGACTCCCTCAGCCGCACGTGACAAGCATCCTCGTCTCGACCTGTCACGACACCATTGTATGATTTCTAATATCCTATTGTAGCCAAACTATATGAAATAAACTCAAAACCACCATCCTCTTTGACTGTTCTCACCCTAAATCATGTGTGTTACCGATTTGTCTAAAAATATTTGTTGATAATTACTTGATAACTATATTCCCAGTGAAATATAAAACATTAGTCAGATAATTGCAAAGGCTTTTTTCACCTTGGCTGTCAGTCCTATTACTGTATATATATACTGTCACTGCATTTTGTCAGTGCTTTTAAAGACTTATTGAAATTCACAGGAATTCAAGTTCTTAAGTATTTAGTGTTTCTTTTCATTGGTCATGTTTTCACATAATGCTATACACCTGATATACTAGTTTACAGTACTAGTACAGTATTAGGAAACTTGACCATGTACATGATACTTTTTAATATACTTCAGTGAATAAAATAGATATGTAAAATCCAGACACCACATACCATTTTATCTGAAATTATGACTAATATAATAGTTGAGTGTGTCTTATTTCTATTTTTAAACATCTAGCAATTAGTGTCTAGGGTTGGGTGAATCATTACTCTAAGATACCTGTCTTAAGTGCCTATATCTGGCAAATTCTGATAATTACTGTCATACTGGTGGATGCCACCTGCTGACTACATTTGTGTAGTTTGTAGTTCTAACTTCTTGAAATTGTGTAGCTTTAACATGAGGTTAAGTCTATAGTTTAATATACTTATTATATATGCAGCTTAAGTCAACTACATTGTCTGTGATGTTATGTTGCATAATGCATATGAGACATTGTCCATACCAAAGAGATTCTGAAGCTCTTATTCTGTACATCAAATACGTTTTATAATGGATGTTATGATAGTTGTACGAGGCCAATGTCTTGAGAGTTAGGTGCTTCAGATGCTTTACATGTTGACTGAGGTACCTTCTTACCTCAGAATTATTGTAAGGTCATGAAAAACAATAAATTACCTGCAGTATTGTAATTTGTCTACTTCACTTGTATCTTGATCCCAAATTTGCTTTGCCTACTGGGTAAGTTTTAGTACCTGAGCCCTTGAGTGACTCTATATATTCAGGAACACTGCAATTAGTCCACAGGCACCGCTCCTGTGCCAGGTAAGTCCACTATGGGCTCACCATAGCCCGTGCTACTTGCCCCGCTCCTGTGCCAGGTAAGTTACGGGCTCACCATAGCCCGTGCTACTTGGAACCTGTTCCGAGTAGCTGAATCTATAACAACAACAAATAGTCCCGGAGGACACATACCGCTCCTGTGTCAGGTAAATCCACTACGGGTTCACCATAGCCCGTGCTACTTGCCCCGCTACTGTGCCAGGTAAGCTACGGGCTCGCCATAGCCCGTGCTACTTGGAACTTGTTCCGAGTAGCTGAATCTATAACAACAACATGCAATTAGTTCATTTACGGACTATTCATCCCCGTGCCATCTCCTGGGTGGCTTAATCTTTATCAATCAATTAGTTCATCATCATTGCTCACAGGATGGGTATGGATGGGCATAACAAATTAACTAATCTAGCGCTAACCGTATTTTGTGTCCTTGTAACAAATAATACAAGCCTATCGACCGCCCAAACCGGATGCCATTTTGCAATATATTTGAGCCATAAGTTGAGGCAGTGTACAGTAGTTATGATACCAGAGGACCTTTTACTAAGTATAAGATAACCTTTATAAGGACACTATATGAAAAGAACTGTATGACACTATATGACATCGTAAAGAGTTTGGGATCAACTAAATAGACAAATACTGAAAGCCTAAATTCAAATTCTGTAATTGTACCTTTATCATGTTAACTATAATAACCATTTATTGTATTATAATTTGTATTGTATTTGTAGGAAGGAGCCAAAGACCAGGAAATTCAAGTCGACGAATAATTACAATGTAATTGCATCATAACGATTACTTTAGCAATTGGTGATGATGGAGTAGTTATGGAGAGGCGGGAGTGTGCACACGTGTGGTGAGGGTGTGAGGGGTCACCTCACTTCTCTCTCTGACTGTGTACACTTCCTGCACATAAGTTAGATCTGAATCAGTGTGTGACCGGGGACGGTGACCCCTATAATGGCGGGGGGGGGGGGGGGGGGGGGGGGGGGGACCATGGATATACTCCCACGCCTCGCCAACAACACGTCCATTAGACAGGAACAGGACTCTACCCAAGACAGGAATGTCAGACGGACCTCTACAGGAGACTCGAGCGGGTATTCCCGTCATCCTCATCACATCAGCAACAGGTTAGTGTCTTCACGCACTCCTGAGTCATTAGTAGGGCCTCGGTCGAGGCTTCAACACTGAGGGCCTAGTGTAACCCGTCCTCACACTAGGATGGTTAAAGCGGCGGCCGTCATACCCAGACAACCCGTTCATACACTAGGTTGGTTAAAGCAGCGGCCGTCCATACACTAGGCTGGTTAAAGCAGCGGCCGTCATACCCAGACAACCAGTCCATACACTAGGATGGTTAAAGCAGCGGCCGTCATACCCAGACAACCCGTCCTCACACTAGGCTGGTTAAAGCAGCGGCCGTCATACCCAGACAACCCGTCCTCACACTAGGCTGGTTAAAGCAGCGGCCGTCCTACCAAGATGCATTCATCAATTTTAACATACTGTGTATTAAACATTGGTGTGTTCTCATATATAAATTAATATTATTATTCATAACAATTCTATGTATAGTTAGGCAAAGGTTAGGTTAAGTGTTTTATATTTTCTCAAATATAAATTTATATTATAATATGTTGTTGTTGTTTTAGATTTAGCTACTCACAACGAAATGTCCATGTAGCACGGACTATGGTGAGTTATTATTATTATTATTTATGTGAGTTATAATCACAACAAAATCGTGAAGTTGTTATTTAGTCAGAGTTGATTTGTGTTTGTAATTAGGCAGGTATTTTCTCCCCTGATTCTATATATTGGCTTACCTTTAAACAGCGATAAATCTTATTTCTATGAATTTAAAATTTAGATTTGTTAGTGAACAAATCCACAAGGGGCGTGACAAGGATTCGAACCTGCGTCCGGGAGCATCCCAGACACTGCCTTAATCGACTGAGCTACCACAGGGTAAAAAGGGTTGAAACTGAAGTTCTACTGAACTTACTGGATCCCGTAGCCTCTCCGAGGCACAAACCCGGCTTTTACACCCCCCCCCCCTGTACCCGAGCTATGTCAACAGGCCGTTCTCCCTCTTCGCCCTTACATCATCACACACAGAGATCACAATAACGTGATGCATCAAATGAACAAATCCACA